AAGCTGCGCATCTGCAAGCACCAGGATGCTAACCCGCGCATCACCCAGACTGCCCTGGCGGCTTGGACAAAGGACGCCTTTGACCTCCAGAAGGCACTTTCCCAGGCAGCGATCAGCAAAATCATCAAAAAAAGGAAGGAGCTTGAGGCAATGGACACCACTAACCTCAGCGCTAAGCGTCCTCGGACTGTCCAGCACCCATCTGTGGAGGAGGCCGTCGCCTTCTGGGTCTTGCAGTGCCAGCACCGTGGGGTCGCTCTCACTGGAGATCTCATACGGGCCAAGGCTCAGGCTTTTGCGGGATCAATGGGCGTCTCGGAGGGAAACATCCGCTTTTCGAATGGGTGGCTCCACAAATTCCAGCAGCGCCACAAACTGCGATCTGTCCGCATTCATGGCGAGAGTGGCTCAGCAGATATGGGCGCTTTAGAGGAGGGTCTTCCACACCTCAAGGCAGTGGTTGCTGGTTATACTCCACGTGACGTGTACAACATGGACGACACTGGTAGGTCTGAGAATACAGTACAGTACTGTACTCATTGTACAGTACAGAAGCATCTCAAAGGCTCACTTTCTGTTCAGGGTTGTTCTACAGTATGACGCCCGACAGAATGATTGCCCAGCCAGAGGTCGAAGGGTATAAAAAAGACAAGGTACAATATTGCTCTCATCTTGGTTTCCTGCGTTTCTCTGACACTAACAACTATTCTAGACGCGCATCACAGTTGCTCTCACGGCAAACGCTGATGGATCCGACAAACTCCCGCCGTTCTTCATTGGACACGCCAAAAAGCCGCGGTGTTTTGAGCGCAAGACAGCTGAGCGACTGGGCTTTCTCCACCGCAACAACAAGAAAGCCTGGATGACTGGCATACTCTTCCAGGAATGGCTGGGAGACGTCGACAAAAGTATGAAGGTAATTTGGGGCATGCCTTGAACATCATCGTTGTGGTACAGTAAATGAGGTTTGACTAACGCGTTGACCACAGCAAAAGGATAGAAAAATCCTGCTTCTCATGGACAACGCTCCTTCACACATTGTTGCTGACCTGGAACTCACCAACATCACGGTCCAGGCTCTTCCTCCTAATACGACTTCAAAGGTCCAACCCATGGATGCTGGGATCATTGCCGCATTCAAGAGGCACTACCGCCGGCTGCATCTGCAGAATGCCTTGGACCGTGACGAGCGCGGAGAAACCAACCTTTACAAGGTTGATCAGCTCACGGCCATGCGTTGGTCGCTGGCTGCGTGGAGCGAGATTTCCAGTGCCACAATCGCCAACTGCTTCCGTCATACGGGACTCATGGACGGTCCGGCTCTGCCGACTGGTGGGGGTGAAAACGAAGCCGGCACTGTTGGCCAGCAGGCCCAGCAGGAGGCAACAGCTGCTGCAGTTGAGGAGCAGCGCGTGGAACAGGATCTTGTTTCGGCGCTGGAAAGGCTCCCGCTCCGCAATCCCATTTCGATCGCTTCTCTTTTCAATCCGGCTGAGGAGGAGGAGACGGCGCATGCGGAGCTGACCGATGCCGAAATCATCAAGCTTGTTGAGGATCCGTATGGGGAGGAGGAAGGTGCTGCTGAGGTGGAGGAGGAGGTGGAAAAGCATTCAAAGGCTGAAAAGCTTGCCAGCCTTAGTCTATCCATCGCCCTTCTCGACCTTTCTCAGGAGTCCCATCGTATAGCTCACCGCACCCTTCGCCAAGTCCAAGCTGATATCCGTAGTGCGAGCACCACTCAGGCCACACTTGATTCCTGGCTGAAGTAGTTTCCTCTCCTCTTTCCACTCCTTTCTTGCAGTGAATAACAAAAAAAAGGTTCTGCGTACAATATTTCTGCTCACGGCGGACAAAAATATTCCCTCTGATAAGTTGTATTTGGCCCTCAGGCTATTCCGTATAACTTATTCCGTAGTCACCATAGAACGAGGTCGGTGGAGACCGAATCCTATAACTTACCGGAGATTATTACGTAGCCGGGGATAACTTAGCAGAGGGAAGACTGTACTTTAAGTTAGATTAATATAATTAAGTCAGGACGAACAGAGACACAAGAGCGATAGGACATAATTGTATTAATTATCAGTTTTACTTTCACCACGACTAGAGCCTTTGCCTTAGTCGTTACCTTCCTCTGTGTAAGTGTTCACACCTAGCTGGGCACTGACCTTCACTGTTGTCAGTGAAAGGTAAACTCCGTGCTGGTAGTCCAGTACGTAGTCGTCGGTGCCCCGTTACACCAATCGTCTTGCGTACCGTCACGAAGCCGGCCACCACATGTAGAGGATGTCGGCTGTACGCAGAGCGCCCGCAAATTCCCTAAAAATCGCGTTTTACACCGCCGGGTTAAACATTTACTTCTTGTACATCCCCTCAAGACCTTGGGGTCGATCCGTTCTTCCCCAAAGTCGAAAACCATTTGAAAGCCTTCGCCTACTGCGTAAGTGGTGTCAGCTAGGCCTGTTTGACCCCGCTGATCATATTTTGCAAAATTGGCTTGAAGGACCAGTCGGTGTTGTACCAACAAAGTTTTAGTCGCCTTCTTGGCATAGTCTACCCATTTCTCGTAAGAAGCGTCACTTTCCACACATGCTTCCTCGAAGAACTGGTACAAAACAACCTTTTCATCGCTGTATATTTCAGAAATCGTCTCCCCTTGCCGCACAAGCTCAGCATCGTCTCGGCTGTGTTAAGGACGATAAAGAACAGTTCCGCTAGCGTGGTCATCCGGGCGTCTTGCGAAGGTTCGCAAGAAGCCGCTTCTCGAGCCTCCATCTCCGCTGCATATATTTCCTGCGGCTGAACCGCCAAAGCTCGAAAAAATACTAATCACTGAGCAATACAGTGAGATGGCCCAGTGAAAGATGGATATGTATTATCCTCGTATCGCCCATACCCTTCTCGGTCCTGCTTCGATCTTACGCTTCCATTCTGAGCTTTTTCTATTCTTTCACTATTATTCTACGTCTTCTGGCGGTCGGGATAGACTTGGTTTCGCTTGAAAGCGTCCGCTCTCCAATTATATTTGCTCGTTGATATCGGGTTCCAGAGAAAACCGATGAGACTGGATTTCTGTCATGTGACCTTTTGAGGCCGGGGCGGGGTTTAACCTGCAATTACATGATTCCACACAGGACGGTATTGCGCCAATACGCCGGGTGCGAACCCTCGTTGAGTTGGCTAAACGAATACTATTAATCGCGGAGCAACAATGACGTCAAGAACATCAATGAACACATCGTCGCAGTGTCCGGAATATCGCGATGAAGTCAGGCTCGGCAGCCCATCACGCAGGTGTCATACCGCAAATAGATGTTCTTCCGTCATCAAGAGATTCCGATCCTACAACGAGCTCTAGTGGAGTCTGAGTCCGTCGGGGCCGTCTTTAGCAGAATTTCTTTGCATTGATCGCTGAATTGCTGAGTCTGCATTTGAACAGGAAACATCGCTCCCTCTTCTCTATACCGGGTGACAAACGACCACGACGTGGTCTAGAAATCGGGTTCCCAGTAGTCAGTGACGCGGACTACGATCAATGCGATTTCGGTCACTGCATCACTGGCTACATTGGATCAGCACTCTGACATGACGCGTGTAGTGTCGTCCATTACACGCATCCTGTCAGTGTGCTGATCCGGGTAACCATTGTGAAGCTTCTCCAACTGCTTCTTTGTTCAGATATCGATCGAGAACTTATTGGACTGCAAGATGCTCGCGACTTGAGCAGCAAACGGACCGAAGCTTTTGATAGTCAAGCCGGGAGCTATTTCCGCGTCCTCTGATGCTGAGAATACGCTACTGCGGTTTCTGTAGACGACGAGTCGTCCGTGGAAATAGGTCACGTGAATAAGGGCAAACGGGTCGTCGCGGAGGTTGCTGTGTCCCATCAGCTGGCTCGTGTGGAAGCACGAAGTGGTCAAGTAACGCCAGTCCCGTTGGCTTCAGGCTAGTCATCTTTCACGGCAATCATCACTAGAGCGCGCGAGTGCTGCGCACAATCGACACACACGGCTTCACGCTCACCAATGCATGTTTGGCATTGGTGCTAACGAACTCATCGAGTGGCAAAAGCACGTTTGTCACTTGAAAGTAGTTGCGTGGTATGCAGCGTCCGTAAGTCAGCAAATTACATTCCCTCATGTCACTGTATATGTCTTTGGATGTGTGATCAAGAGCGGCAACATGACGGACGTACTCGGGTAGACTGGCAGCGCATTGGAATGGAGCCGTGATCATACGATATGCAGTATGTCTGTTCGATTACAACGGAATAGCTCCCCGTGGTCACGCACTGCCCATACGCTGCATGTATGCATGGACACAGGACGTAGACTGGTTTCTTCGGGCTCGTGTTGTCAATCTCGATTGCAAATACCTCCAGGTTCCCTTTTGTCGACTTGCTGCACGACTGCAGCTCGGCAACTTTCTCCACAACGCATGAGGTCAAAAAGACAACCTCTGTGCATCATGTACCCTTTGTGCTGTCCGAGGCTAGTACCATAGGCTAAGCACACCCAAAAGATTGTTGACATTGTTGCGTACGCGCAGTGAAACATTAACAAGCTTTATATGAACGGTGCGGAGAAACTGTACCACGCGCTTGGCATGAGGCCGGCGTCATATGCATTGCTAGTGCTAGTCCAGGCATTGGATAGCTGCACACAATTTAGCGGTCTGTCGTGGACTCCATTCATCATGAGGTATTGTCGAAGAGATCATCAGTGTTTGCATCCCCTATGCAGGAACGGAGTACAACAAGGCTGATGAGAGCTTCTCGGACGTATCAATACAATCCAACACACGTGAGAGAATATCGCACAACTCGTTTGTACTAGGAGCACTGTTTCATTTGCAATTTCATCGCTTTACTCTGTGTCGCTCCTGGCGTCTTGTGCGTGTATGTTTGGTATATATGTATGTGCCTCCGCACTTCGTGGCCCACACATCAAATCAAAACTGCGGCACCGCTTCTTGTCGCTACATTCGCGACTACCAGACGCTCACATGCCCGCTTCTTGGTATCCGTCGCTGGAAGCTGCTTTATCTTCAAATTGAGCCTCTCGGTGAGTGTCTCGCTCAGCTACTTCAACTAGTCCAGCACTGTGACGACGGTGCCGTCTCTTAGTCTGTTGTTGACGACGCGTAGCCGCAGCTTGGACTTCCTCCGAGAGTTGGCGCAATGTAAAATTTGGAAACACCTGCGTTGTCGGCATATGCACGCCCGTCATCGGCGACATGTCGCTCGTTGCAAACCACTGCAGGATCGCCTCCCGCTCATAGGTGTGCCCATCCGCAGCCACAACGGGATCTAACATCGGGCACCCAGTGATAGGACAGATGAGTTGCTCCGGCACAGCAAGACCGCCTTCGTACCTATCAACACCATCGTATGACTCGTTGTCTCCACTGTCTTCGTACGTCTCCCAGTCCAGCGTCGTCGTCGCCTCCTCGGCATGGTCCTCATCATCGACCGCCAAGCGGTCTGCAGCCGTAAATGCACGCACGATCCGTCCGCGATTGGTGCGAGGCCCACAGTCGATCAGGTCATCATCGTAGCCATCATTGAGGTACCCAGAAGTGACGCGCCTTGGTGCACTCCAATACGCACGGACAAACTCATGCTTCACTTGACCGTACGCATCCTTCGAGCTCGATACAAACGTTTGTACGCCAGAATACACACCAGAGCGAAGAAGATCTTGCACACTACGCATCATCGTTGAATATGCTTGAGCGCCAAAAAACGCCACAAACATCGCCGAATTCTCGAAGTGGATTCGTGGTGTGTCGGGTAGAGCGCACCATATGCGCTGCGCACTTGTGACAATACGAAATTGGCGCACACGTGTCACTTGGTTCTGCAGTTGATCCGAAGCGTCAAGAAGCAGTGATGGACGGCGCTCGACATGCACGAGATTGCGGTGCAGCTCAAAGCTCAGAGGCCATCCTTCTTGGCTACGCGTCTGAGCAAACACTTGGTCCTGGAATATGTCGACCACTTCCAATCTTGCGCTAGGCGGCAAGATTTTCGAGTAGTACTCCAGTCCCCCAAATCCCATCAGTCGCACAATATCTCCTTTCCGTGGCTCTAGTGCGTTGGTAGCGGCGGAAATATCGAAACTAAGTGAAAGCTGGAGTTGTCCAGCACGCTGCGACTCGTCGTCTGTCAATTGATACCATCCTCGGGAACTCGATGCGCTCGACAGAAGACACGGTAGCAACGGTACCACAAGCGCCCCAAGAAGTTTATCCTTTGGTCCCAATGCAGACACATGAGACGACATGGACGCGTTCGACGCCACTGCAGCAGTTGCCTCGGCGGTTGTCGTCTCGTCCGAGCGATGGAAAATCTGCACAAACAGCTCGGGCGCACACGGATGGTACTGCCGGTAGCCCCTGGCAATGTCTGCAGCGGGTCCATGTTTCTTGTTTGTCAGCATCTCTTTTTTGTGGGTGCCTTGACGCTGGCAGTTGTCTTTTCGTGCAGCCGTTGGGCTGGCTGCCCTGCCAGCCGTTTGCAGCACTTCCGTCTCGGACGGAAGCGGTAAACTCAGTCGACCTGATTCTTTCCATGCTGGAAAGAGGTCATTTGTCTTGACGCTTGACACAAAGTGCTCGCGGTCCAGTGTCAACACCACATACGGGTTCGAGTAACCCGCTGTCCACTTGAACAGACTTCCAGGCACAGCAGGCGGCAAGTGGCGCGCACCGATGATTTCGACCGTCAGTAGACCCGCAGAAGCTGCTGCCTCGGAGCTCGTAGTGTGTCTTGCGCTGCTGCTGCTGCTTCTGTCGGTAGCGACAGCGCTGCTGGTAGTGAGTCCACAAGACGTCGTCATGTAAGAGCTTTTCGCGAGAACGATAAGAAAGATAATGATTTCGTCGACGTTTTTTACTACAAAATCTGAGTCCGGTAGCAGACGGGGCACGGTTTTGAATTTACGTCGGACCAAAAACGAGAACGTCGGGTGGGTGTCCAATTGCCTGTTCTCTAGCACAAGTGCGCGTTTGTGCGAAAAAACACCGTCGGTGTCGCATAAACCTCGCGTCGCTATTGCACACGGTCTTGGCCACAGGCGATAGAAATGAAGTGAACCACATCGTTTCTACCTGCGAAATGAGTGCGGCGCCACCACCGGATCTGCGCGACGGCTGCGAGCGCGACGTACTACTTGCGCACGACGCGCTGCCCGTCTACGCCCCGACGCCCGTCCAATTGCCTCATGTGACCGAGCGATCGACCTTTGACTGGCTCTTGGGCGTGTCATTTCTCGTGATCGTTGCGCTCATTTGGACGTTTGCCAGCGTCTTGGTGCAGTACATTTTCCACACGTTGAGCTTCCAAGGCCCGTTCTTCCTCACGTACGTCGGCATGTCCCTCTTCTCGATCAATTTGCCACTGTACTACGCTTCGCAGGTGCTGCTGCCGCGACTCCACGCGTGGGTCCACGGCCTATCGACGTGCAGTGCACTCGGCCATCGGGAACTGCTGCGACGCTCGAGCCGGCAGGCGAGCTACAGTCAGATCTTCTGCATGAGTGCGATCGTTTCACCTCTGTGGTTCATCGCCAACGTCACGTACAATGAGAGTCTGAACCTCACGAGCGTATCGAGCAGCACGATCGTGAGCTCGACGTCGACGGTGTTTACGTTCTTGCTGAGTGTTGTGGCCCTGAAGGAGCCTTTTGTCTGGACAAAGCTGGCGGGCGTCATGCTCTGCATGGCCGGTAACATCTCGACGATCATGAACGACGAAGGGACGCATAGTGGCACGGACCATGTGCTCGGCGATCTGGTGGCACTGTTCGCCGCCTTTATGTACGGCGTGTACACGACGACGATCCGTCGCTTGATTCCCGACGAAGAGAGCGTGAGCATCTCGCTGTTTTTCGGCTTCATCGGTGCGATCAATATGGTGTGTCTACTACCAATCGTCGTGGTCTTACACTACTCGAGCATTGAGTCGCTCAGTGGCTTATCACTCGAGATCGTACTGCTCATCATTGTCAAGGGTCTCTTTGACAACGTGCTCTCGGACTACCTATGGGCGCGTGCCGTGTTGCTTACCTCGCCGACTGTGGCGACCGTCGGGCTTTCGCTCACAGTCCCGCTGGCTATCGTGGCTGACTTTTGGTGCCACGGGATGCTGCCAACCTACGTGACGCTACTCGCCTCTGCGCTTGTCATCTCTGGTTTTGTGCTGATCAACATTGGCACGAAGCAAAAGCAGCACGAGTACCACCCGCAGCGCTCTACGGACCGCTCCGTGAAAGCTCCTGGCTCGTGCTCGCGCAGCAACAGGACTAGTGGACTTAGTGAATAGCAATAACGGTATCGACCTGTGGTAAGGCTTTTGCGTGCTTTCGGTGTTTACTATCTATGGCTTACTGATTCACTCGCGATACAAGTGGAGACCCTCTTGTCGGCATCAACAACGTGCTGTGGTAGTAAAGGGCAGTGCGAGAGACCGAGAGCATTGCACTTGTTACATGCAGGTGGCATTGCATCGTGCCGCCCTTAGTGCTCGTCTTTGCCATTCATTGTATAGATACATGTACATACATGTGCCTCGCATTGGCACTTTCGACAACACTCACTGAGGAAGCAGTACAACCACAAGTGTTTGTGGTATTGTGGTAGTTGCAGCCAAGTGGACAATCGAGTACCATATCGAATGGTATTTTATTTTGCACCGTTGGTTTGTACAGCGAAATACGGTCTTCTGTACAAATCAAATCCAGCGTTCGGTGGTAAGGACCATTTCTAACCGTCAGCTGCGAGCGACGATGTTGAAGTGGCTTTTTCGATCGTCTGAGATATGATTAGAGCGCAACGAGTGTGAGAAACCTCTTGGTAATCATAGTGCCAGGACTCAACTGGCGGATGCTGAAAAAAGGTCAAGTTCAATGTGGGAGGTAACGGACCCAAGAAACAGCCGCCACTTGTAATCGGTCGACTCCATGTTCACGAAATCCACTTTTATCCTCACCCAGCATTTTGAAACCGACTGGATTCTGCACCAAGACTCCCATAGCTGATATCTCCACCTGACATCCAGCCGCCTCTTATTACGATAGTCGGACGGCTACCAACGAAAAAATCCACGAACGCCCGTTGCTTCGAGAATGTAAACAAAGTGAGCTCCACACGGCCGAGCCCAAGCGGGTTACTCCATGCCACTTCTCTTGCACGTGCTCACGCGACAAGAAACAGCACAGCGGCCTGCGGTCAATATTCCAAGTCAAAGGGAGCGAAGGACCGCCCGCCGAACACACCGTCGTACACCGACACGATTCGATCCAGACGCCCTCCAACCCGCGCGCATGCAGTGCGTATCCCCCGTACGCTTCGTCCGTCCCATCGCTGTGGCACTGCGTCCGACGCCGTGCGACTCGCACGTCCCCTCTCCGCAGCACAAACACACGCGTGTTCCTTTTCCTCAGTGTGCCCACGTGCACAAAAAAGCGACTTGTCGGTCCGCGACATTTTTCGCCGCAGCGCGTCGGGTCGCCCGTCTGTCTGACGGCCGCGCTGAACGTTCACTCGCCAACTTGAAGAAGGCGAAGAAGAAGACGAAGAAGAAGGAGAAGAAGGAGAAGGAGACGAAGACGAAGCAGCGCACATAACGACTTGAGCAGCTTCCGAGACAATAGCAGCAGCAACCGACCGACCGACCGACCGACTGACCGACGACATGGACGACCTGCCGGCGGAGCTGCTGCGCCACGTGCTGCAGTGTCTCGACCACCAGACGCTGCACGCCGCCGAGCTGACGTCCCGTGCGTGGCGCACCGTCACACGCGACGCCCGTACGTGTGCTCGATCTTTCGTGCTCGTTGCTGTAGCGCGCTCACTAACGAACAACGACCTGCCCGCTCTGTCTGTCGTACAGAGCTCTGGCGAGCGCTCACCGGTCCGCGCGTGCGCTCGAGTCCAGCGCGACGGTCGAAGGACGCGTGGAAACAGTTGGCGTGCCTCACGCAGCGCCGTACTGAGGACACGCAGCAGCAGCAGCTCCTGGTCGGAGTCCAGTCGTTCTCGTCGGCCGATCGGTCGAGCGAGTCGCCCGTGAACACGCTCACGCCGTCGCGGTGCTGGATGGAGCTGCACCGGCGACAAGAGCCCGTGGCCGGCCGCGCGACGGACGAGCTGCGGACAGTGGGCGAGCGCATCCAGCACCGCTGCGGCTGTTCGGCCGGTCGGTCGTGTTACTGGAGCAGCTCGGCGTCGGTGGACCCGAACGCGAGCGAGTTCATTGACTACGCCATGGCCGACCCCTGTGTCGTCACGGCCGTGCAGATTGTCCCGTACCGAGTGTTTTGGCATCCCGACAGCCCCACGTACGCGCCGCAGCGCGTGCGGTTTGCGTTCTTTGACGTTAGTGACCACAGCACAACGAGACAACACGAAGCACGAGGAGCGGTGACGACAACAACAAGACGTGACGCTGACATTGAGCCGTTTTACACCTCGCACGACTACAACGTCCAGAACGACATGACGCTGCAGGACTTTGTGCTGCCGCAAAAGGTCGTCGCAAGCGCCAACACAGTGCTGCGCATCACGCTGGTGGGACGACACCAAGCGCAGACGTTTGAGCTGCCGCCGCAGGACGTGGCCGACGACCATGAGGACCGGCGGCCCAAGTACTATTGCTGCATCAGCCACGTGAACGTACGCGGCGTGCTGTGGAAGCCCATCGCGCGTCCAACCGAGTCGGACGCAGCAGGGGCTTCGCACATGTACAAGATGAGTCCAAACCTGCGCGTGGCAGCATTGACTGGTCTGGCCATGTACATCACTGCCTGCTACGAAGGATACATTGGCCGCACTCGACGATGGGAGTAAGCGCCGCCGCCACCACCACCACCAGACCATCGTGTCGTCTACCACACAGCCCCCCATTCCCTCTCTCTTCCGTCCTCCACGAGAGGAAGCGAGAGCCCCTTGTTCCAACTAGCTGCATCCACGTCCACGAATACAACTCGAGACGAACGCCCGTCGCCATCTGTACGTACGTACGAACGAACGTACACACGTGTACCTCTCCTCTGCGTCACGCGATCCCGCAGCACTTGTCACCACTTTTCAAACTGCACGTGCACACCACACGCACAGTGTTTCGTCCAGCTCGCGGTCTCCTTGTGATACCGCTCGACGCTGAACTCGTGTCGATGGTCGCTGTCCCCCGTCCCCACTGCGCCCGTCGCCCTCTTCTTCTGCTTCTTCTGCTGTGTCGCATTGCAGCAGTCGCTTTCCTGTACACTGTCCATCTCGCTCCGACGCGCGCGCGCCAACAGCTGTTTCGTCCGCTGGGCCGCCGCCGCGAACGCGCGTTGCCGGCGCCTGTGCTTCTCCTGCTCCAGTCCGTCTGCGTCGCGGTACAAGCGGTGCGCTTCTTGCGCGACGGTCCGCCGCAGGTACAGCCGCAGCGGCGCAAACGACGCGTGGCGCGGGTTCGGCTTTGTCACACAGGGCAGTCCCTGGAACGACGAGGCCGGCAGCGCGTACTCTGTCTGGGCGCGCGCCTTGGAGAGCAACTCGAACGCGCCGTCGCGCTGCGTCGCGAGCTGTTTGCACGCGACGCACACGCGCAGCGCAAAGTGCTCGAGCAGGACGCGGTCCAAGTACAGCGCGTCGTCGCGGCACTCGGAGCATTGGCCCATAGGTACGTCTGTAGCCATCGCCGATGGTGTTGTAGAGTGGCTCTGTCTCGTGGGCTGTGTGAGTGAGTGGGTGCATAAGTGCGATCGTGTGTCGGTCGGTCGGTCGAACGCTTGTGGGTTTGTCGGGATACGCGAATAAAGCGCTTTTTGCGTAAGTACGCACGGGGGTACGCCGCTGGACGACTGCCACCATCGATCTCGTTCTGTTAAGCACTGAAGAGACAAAAGGGTATCGAGTGGTTACTACGTGTCGCGTCGGTCGAAAATGACCGAACGGATCCCACCACCGGCGACCGACGAGACGCGGGCGGTGAATAAGTTACCGCAGAAGAAGTTCTATCGCGCGCGTGCGCATTGTAACCCATTGTCGCATAACGACTGCTTTGACTAGTGCGTACTTTGTATTCGCGTGTGTGTGTGTGTGTGGGGTCCATTGGTGTTATTGTTATTGTTATTGTCGTTGTTGTTGTTGTTGTTGTTATTTTGGGAAAAGTGTGTGGAAAACTAACCGACTGCACCACTGGATGCAATGAATAGTCCGTCGACACCGACTGCTATGGACTGGTCGAGTCACTTCCCGGGCATTGAAAATCCGTGAGGGACTGCGCGTACTTTGCTCCTGTGTTTTTTTTATTTTGATGCCGTCGGCCATTGCGCGCGATGGGTCGTGTACATTTACTGACTATAACGTGCACATTTCTCTCTCTCTTTCTTTCTTTCTTCTCTTCTTCCTGACGTTGGGCTCGGGGGCAAAGGAGCGTCGACTTTTTGGATATCGGGTGTGGCTTTGGTGGACTCACAGGTTGGACAGCAGCGCAAACGCACAATTGGCTGCATGCGCATGCGAAACAACTGACGCTGGTCACTTTTTTGTGGGCTGCAATGCACAGTGAAACTCGCCGAGCTGTTTCCCGACCGAGTGACGCTGGCGCTTGAGATCCGTGCCAAGGTGACCGAGTACGTGCGTCTGCGTATTGAAGCGCTGCGGGCCGAGCACCCGGAGCAGTTTCAGAACGTGTCTGTGCTGCGCACAAATGCCATGCGGTACCTACCGCACTACTTTGGAAAGGGACAAATCCGCAAACTGTTCTTTTGCTTCCCGGACCCGCAGTTCAAGACGCGGCTGCACCGGCGCCGCATTGTCCAGTAGGTGATTCGGTTTGCAAAAGCGGTCGTGCACGTGTAGCTACTGACGAGTTGGTAATGGTGATGATGATGTTATTGCTTGCAGCACGCCGCTACTTGCCGAATATGCCTATTTGTTGGCTCCTGGTGGTATCTTGTACACTATCACGGACGTGGAAGAACTACACGAGTGGCACGTGGACAAGTGCTCGACTCACCCGTGTTTCACGCGCGTTCCGGATAGTGAGTTGGTACGGTAAAGTATTGTTGTGTGGGGGGGATGCAAGAGGTTTTGGTGGACGCAAAGGCAGTGTACTGATCCATTGGAAATGGACGTGGTGCAACAGGATGCTGATCCGTGCGTGAAGGCCATGACGGAGGAGACGGAAGAAGGCAAGAAAGTTGCTCGTGGTGGCGGCAAAAAGTATGTGGCAGTGTTTCGACGGAAGGCCAACAAAGATGTTGCTACTGACAATCTCTTTTGGTGAGAGAGAGAGATGGGATCAGTTCGCGCGAAATGATCGACGAGCATGCACAAAGGGCGTCAGCACCCAGTAAAGACGGTCTAGACCACTATCGTTCAAATGAATTGCATTGTCTTTCCTTACACGTACGGAGTTCGCGCTGTACAGGTTCTAACTTAGCATGTTGGCTACTACTTTCCCACATGGCGGTTACGTTAAGCACGCAAAGGGGTCGTCGCTCGACACCGGTGGCGGCTTCTCTTCGAATCCACAAATATCGTTGCCAGCAAAAGGGTCGGTCACGTCGGGGACCAAGGCTTCATCCGTGGCAACCGGTGCGGGCTTCGGTCCACTGCTGTCGCCGCCGCCTGGAACAGGACCAGTCTCGACCGTTGCAGCAGATGAAGTTGGCGAGCCAACAGCGCCCAGACTCGTTCGATTGACAGACTGCGAGACCTGATCGCTGAATGACCCTGAGGACCGTGGCAACTTGCTTGGAGATGACGATGGCGGGACGCCCGCGCCCTCTGACAACGTAAGCCCTTCATTGACAGCAGCTGAAGCGTCGCTGATGTTTGTGTTGATGCTTGTTAGAAAGTCCTCCATCGAGCGCGAAGATGCTCGTCTTTGTTTTCCTGCCGTTGCAGGCACGCTCTGCGAGCGCAACCCCGTCAGCACCGCATCGATGTCACCATCAGCCTCTTCGAGAACGTCCATGACCCGATCGCTTGTCGTTTGGATCACCACTGCACAATAGACAAAACGAGGTGAGCACGCGCGTCAACATCACATACACATACATACATCACGAAGCAGACATGATCTTACTGGAAAAGTTGCCGTAATCGGCGTTCATCTCGTTCCAGAGGTAGTCAAAAAGCACAAACACTTCGGAAAAGAGCAGATGGAAGGCCTCGTTGTCGTGGAACAGTGGCCAGTTGCTTTGCTGTTCGCGGACGAGCTCACCATTGAACTTCCAGAAAAGACGCGCCACCATACACGTCACATTGATACCTGCAGGACCCCACGGGTAGGTGTGATCGTGCGACCCAGGTACCTGGCTCGTCACCATGCGCACAGCGTGGGCAGTATAATGTGATGCAAAGTACACCAAACAATTCAAACTCAGCATGCCACCGGCACGGAAATCTGTCGTCGGGTCCGGACGCTGAAAGCCCAATCGGCTCCACGATTCTCCAACTCGTTCAAATTGCAGTTCGGTGGCTGTGTCAGCAGCAACAGCATCACCAGCTGCATGGTCGTCGTCGCTCATATCCAACAGATTGTGTTCCACAGCAGAATGACTTTGCTCAGGAGCAGAAGCCTTGCACTCGCTTTCAAATGGTGACTGCGAGTAAATTGCCGTCCAGAGGTCACGAAGCAGTTCCTCGTACTTTCCATCACCACTCACGCAGTTTTGCTTGAGCAGCACAAACTGCTCCTGCATGTGTGTTACGTACGGCTCTTTCGGCATCCCGGACTTTCCATGCCGTGACCAAAGAGCGGTGCCTTCACTGCCGCCATTGCCGCGCAAAAAGGCAGGCAGAAACTCCTCCCGTCTTTTGCTCCGCAGCAAATCGCGCTTAGTAGCCTGTGCAAGGGCAGCACGCTCGCGTTCCCGTGCTTGCTTGTCGAGCCCTACGAGACTCTTGCAGCCATCCGCAACACCGAAATGTAGGGCATAGGCGACCACAGCTCCATCCGCATAGCCGCACACAATGCAGCGCTCATCTTGTCCCACGCTCACACTTGTCAGGTCCGCTCCTGAGCGCTTGCAATCGATTCGTCGGACCACAGATCGAGGCATACCAGCGTCACGCACTTCGATTGCTGCTTCCGCACCAGCACACGCCGTGATTAGGTATTCGCCTGAACGAGTGAATAGCACACCGCGATCTAGCAGCAAGTGGGGTATCAGAGGCCTCTCATCTTCAGCGGTTTCTCCATCGTCAACACTTGTGACGAGCTTGTCGTGAGAAATCACGTGACCGTTGATGGACACCATGTAAAGCTCCGACTGGTTGTCAGAGCCGTCGCGCGGCTGCAGCTGGTCGTTCGTAGCAACATACCCGCTGCTGGACAAACCGCCAGCCACCATGCTGCTATTACCATTTCCTTCGCCGACCGTAAGCCTAGCCTTATCGTCAGAGAAGATCGAGCTTGCGCGAGAGTAGCGTCCACTCCACTGGGTCTTGTGAGTCGTGATCGAGTGAACCAGCGTATCGCCCTGTGCCGAAATGACCATGTGAGCAACAACAGACGTCTCCATCGGTCCCGGTGTGAGCGCCAAAGCGTGAAGGGGTGTGGACCCGCGCAGCGAATGCAGCAAAAGCACGTTGTCCTTCGAGGCGCTGACCACTACATCCAGATCGACATTGAGCGCCACGGCCACGACTGGGCTCGTATGACCCACCAGTGACACCCAAGGCAAGCCACCAACGGGTAGCTCCTTCTTGACAAAAAGGCGTCGAGAGCGAGACGCCGAGAGTTTTGACAGAGCCCACACCGAAACAGTGCAATCTTCGCTACCAAAAGCCAGTGCTAGGTCACCCGTAAAATCGTCTTCGCTTCGAGCCATGCACAGAATGGGCTTTTTGTGGAAAGCGATCCGTTGCAAAAGCTCGCCGTCAGCTGCCCAGTGAATGCGCCAGCTGCCATCCCAGTAACCACAGCTTATCATTTGCTCATAGAACACCACTCCTTCGTTTACAAGGCAACCCGCAGGAAGCTTCCACCATTGGTCCACATCCACCATTGAGAATGGACAAGAGCGGGCGGTATCGGGGACCGCGTTCAAGTAACGTTTTGCCAACACAACGCCATCGCTATCCGTTGTGTACACAACGACCCCATGGTCATTGCTGCCAGTGCTGTGGGCTCCCATGCCAGTGCCACTACCGAGTCCGGGGCCGGATCCAGTGAGCGCAGTGAGTGCCGCTGCATTATTCAGAGCATTCGAAAAGCGGACGCTCTTTACAGCCGCGGTGTGCTTTGACGGAAGATCGTAGCGGCGGACCTGCCGACGCGATGAGAGCACAGCCATGCTGTGCGAAGCTGGGTATCGTGCCTCCAATGACTTATCCTGGGTCATTCTTACCGGGTGTGGCTTACGGAAAAGCTGTATTGGCACAGTTCCGCGCTGAACGAGTTTTGCTCGCACACCGTCGCTCGAGCTGCAAAGATCCAAGCGCTCCGGATAGCAGGCGATGTGGTATGAGTTCAAGCTGTCGATGGCAGGTGAGCCAGTCTGTTTGTACCCAAAAATAAGATCAATCCAGTGGTGGAGGTTGCTAGACACAAAGTCGCTCTCAAGGGCTAAACGGTGAAGCCGCACAAATTCGTATGGCGATGCAGCCCATGGAGGTAGTGCCACTTCACGTGCCAGGCACGCCGTCGCACTCACATTCTGTCCCGGACTGAAGTGACGTGCAAGCGTTTTGTTCCGGGCACTTGAAAATAACTCAGGTAAGTAGAAAAACTCCGGCGTCAGCTCAAACATGTGACGGTCGTCACTCGTGCACATCTGAAACGCATCACGCATTGAATCAAATGTAGGCTCGCCAGCAGACTTGTGGTAGAACCGCTGCTCCTCACTACCCAAAACGGCTCCCGTAAAAGGCGCAAGCCGGATCAAGAAGTATAACACAGACTGCAAGTGCGAGTACGCGTTTGCGTAGTGATACGCTGGAATAGGCATCTTCGGATCCCAGCTCTCATAAGTTGCTCGCGCACGCTGAATAGCCTCAGGCGTTTGCGCACCAATCGGTCGACGCAAGTCCCGATACACGTCTTCGTCGTCCAAACGAAGCTCAGCAGACTCATAGTCGTTGATCACCCACGGAAAGACAGGGTACTGCGAAGCATCATTGTACGAACGACCCGCCGATACGTTCAGTGCCATCAAATATTCGAAGTTGCTGATCTCGCGTCGAACCCACATGTCCGTCCACTTGCTCTTGGAAAACATCCTCTCAGCTGTCAACAACCTCTTGCCCCACTTTGCAAGGCACGGAGGTTTGCGCTCTCGTAAAACGGCATATACGAGATCAGCTTCGCCAAAGCTCTCTAGACCGAAGAAGCATGAACTGCCGTCCACGAAGTAGATTTCAAGACCATTCTGACCCTCCATAAGGAAACGCCGTCGGTGAATCACACGAATGACGCGAACGCCCCACACACGACGCTTCAATTGCGAAATGTAGGTCTCGTGAAGTACTTGCGCGCTGCGCTGCCGAGCAGCAACACCCCCATCCTCATTTGACTTGAACGCGTCAGCAATGCCGCGCAGTGTTACCACACGCTCGCCCTCAAAGACAATCGTCGCTGCACCTATCCGTAGGGCACCGTGCACTAAAACGCCCGACGGCAGGACGAGATACGCCTTGGTACGGTACGGCGCACCCAACGTTTTCCAGTGATCGTGTTTACTCGGAAACTTCTTGATCACTCGCGATGAAGACGTGGGGGCCGACAAACTTGGTTCTTTCGGGCTGGGAGGTTTCGTGTTTTCTTTGCTTGGTGAAGCCGTTGCTTCCCCTTCAGTCGTATCTGGGGATGCTAAATCCTGCGAATCTTGCGTGCCACCGCCGTCATCTGATATACTCGAGATGCTTCTGGTCAAACCTGAATTCTCCAGACCCGTCGGTCCTGACGAAGTGGCCGAGCCACGCGTACCTGCCAAACGTTTAATGCCGGTGGAAAAGCGCGTCGATATCGTACCAATGCGGCCCTTCGCTGACTTGACAGTGGTTGCTACATCTACAGAGACAGCACGACGTTCCCTGGACATGTTCGCCATAACTCTTGTGGCACCGTCGTAACCGTCTGGTGGTGGCGGTGCTAGCGGTGCAGTTGACACATGGTCTGAATTGAGACCCACAATCTCCAAGTGCAGCGATGAGCGTGCAATATCTCCGACGCTGCCGCTACTGTTCATGCGGTCGCGCAGCATCGAGAGCGCTCTGTCCCTATCCCTTTTACTAGTATCTTGCTGTGGTGTACTATTGTCGTCATCCAGGTACCCCACGTCACTGAGGCGCCGCGCTAATCCGACATACCCCGGGTCTTCATTTTCCGCAGGTTCAGACCCATCTCCACCACTGCTATCGGTGCGAGTCTCGTCATCCTCCTCTTCCTCTTCGAATGCCTGGTCCATCAAATCGCCTGATGCAACAAGAGTCGCACCGTCTACGACGATGGAATCCACCACCGGCATCACCAGTTCATCAGGCATATTGCTCACCATTTCTTGCTTTAGACTCAACGTAGACAAATTCGCATTGCAATGATAAGAAACAGTGTCGTCTGTATCTGGAAGCAAACGACAACGGATCCAATTGCTGGACGTGTAGATATCAACACGCCAAAACTCATTGTCACCCCAAAGCCCGATGATGGTACTGTCACCAACAGAGTTCACAGCGGCCTCTTCTTTCACACCCCAGACGTGACGAACGCCCCACTTCGCCAATACGCGAAGCTTCATCCAGTCGTCAATATCTTTGGCCTTTACGCGTTCCAACCAAACGTGATCCTCGCTGTCGTTAGAAGGCCCGCCTAGAGAAGGTGCTGAGCGAGTGAATTTGCTGATTCGCTCCAGCTCAGTCTTAGCCCGGTTCTTTTCATTCGCTTCTTCGTCGAACATACCGACCCGACGCAAAGCACGAATGTCACGTGCGTGTGCCATCTGTTCGTGGTAAAAGCAGTCACGACGACGGACTTCTTGGTTGTTTGCGACAAAGTCGCTCCGGGCAAGCAAGTCGGTAAGCTGATCCGACGATCGCAGAGGCACGGACACCAAAGACGCGAGAATGCTTGCTAACTTGACTGCCGACTCGGACCAGCTCTTCTGTCGAACGCGATCGATCAGCAGAGAGAGCTCAGGAATCAGCCACAAGAGCAGCGTCGTTTCGTCTCCAGGGACAGACTTTACGCATAGAGATGCTGTGACTAATCCAGCCGTTGTTGTCATGCCGTTCGAGCCTGAGCGAGAAGGCGCGAAGCTCGATTCAAATTGCGCGGTCTCGTGGCCTAAGCCCATTGCATTGATGAAATATTCCAGTTTGTTGATGCGTGCGAAAAACACCGAGTTGGCTGGAAGCCGCAGCTTTACAGATGAGAGCTCGTCATTGTCACCGCCATCGTTGGAAGCCGATGTTTCATAGTCGTCGGATATGAGAACAAGGTACAAGCACCGCAGCAAGAGCTGCAAGATCTGGCGCATTGGGCCACCGGGGTGAGGACGAGCGGAAATGGTACTCGCGCTTGACGACGGTACCGGTGAAGAATTGGATACCGGTGTACTAGGACCACCTGTAGGTAGCAGGTTGAATCCGAACCCGAGCATATTCGCGCTGCCATTGGAACGCGCAGACGAGCCCAATGATGGAGGACTTTGCAAGCCGCTCTCTGCCGAGCGCGACACTGTGCTGCCACGGCGGCTTTGGGCGTTGCTCGATCGCCGGGCGAAGCTGGCATCGGACTCGGTGTGGAAATGCGATGCAAAATGCTGCCAGATGCCCAAAATCGAGTCCACAAGCTCAGCCTCGTGCCAAATGGCTCGCTCGCATTTCCAGAACACCAGAGAATGAATCGTATCTTCACTGCATGTACTCGCACACGCACTAGGATCAACGTCGCCCAGAGTATCGGGGTCGTAGTGCAGCACTACAGCAGCTGCTAGAGATGCCAAACTCTCAGCATTCCGCCACAGAATCGATTCACGCGATGGAGTGCCGTGGTTTATGCGCAGATTCATCTCGGCCGAAAGCATTTCGTTCATTTTGTCCAAAGTGGTCTTAAGCAATGACACAACGACCATCTCCAACTCCTCTGTCGACGCAATAAAGCGCGATAGAGCAGTAAACGGGTCCTGTAGTAAGAACCACGCCATTTCATTCGTTTTTACTTCCAAGCAGATCATGGATGAGATAACGTCGTATGACATATGAGTGATAAAGTCAACACATCCACTGGGCTGGAACACAGCCATCAGTTCCACAAGTGCCAGTTTCATGCGACTTGACATGTGGTTGAAACAGCTGGCGCTTATGCCCTGCTTCTTGCGATCCCCATCCCCGTGCAGAGCCAATAGACCACGCACGAAGTCGACATCGTCCTGGGTAATAATCGAGTACAACGCGTTTACGCGGACCTCATCCGGTTCATGTACGTTCAGCACCATGTCTCGGAGTCGACTCATTGTGACACCGGAGCACCCGCGTAGCTCTATACCAAACAAGGATGATGGTGGCGATGGTGAAGACTCCTGTTGGAGCTGCGGATCTCCACGGAGACTGAGGATGGCCTCGATGATGGGGACTTGTTCCGTCGTTGACGACTCAGTTGCTGTGCCGCCCATGTTCGATATACTTCCGAAGATCAGAACATTGCGGTTGACCGCGCTGGCGAAAGTGGACGACGCGAATATGATCTTCAGATGGCGGATAGCAACCATGCGGATTGTGACAGTGCTGGCGCGTAACAGACCTAGAAACGCAGGCATCATATTGTTGTGCCAAATTGTTGCGGTAGCTAGCACATTTTCGTCGATGAGTGCATCGTATGCTGCCGTTGTTTCATCTAGCGCTTTCATATTCTTTTCTGTCACTTGGATACCCAAAATCATGAGCAAGATTTCTGAGTAAACGCCCATCGACACAGGTCTTTCGTCAGGTTTGAGTGAATGCATGATCAGATACGCATCTCCGACGGAAAGCTGTATCCTGTCCGTCTTATTAGACGCCTCGCGATCCTGAGTACACTCGCACTTTAGAAACAGATACGTTCGTAGCAAACGCAGAGTCATGACACGGATCACATCGTTCGAAAATTCCAACAGAGGTAGCCAAATACGGAGACCTCCCAAGCGGCCAAAGAGGTCCAGCATTCCTGCTGGAGCTGTGGACTGTACCGATAGCTCAATCAGCAGGTGCAGCAAGTCGGGCAAATCCGTTTCGGGTACGTTCTCGATGATTGGTCCGCCCCCGTCGAGGTCACTCTCCGGCGCGGCCTTGGAGCCTGACGACGACGAGACGGTTGCTGATGATGATGTCCCATTCGACAAGCTGCTCTCATGAACGATCTGGGTTCCATCAATGTTTATTCCCGGGATCATGGGATTGCTAGGCTTCCCAATCATGCAGAATATGAGGCACCGCGTGCTGTCGTATGATAGCTGAGACTTTGCTTCCTTTCCTTTCCCAGGAAACGGCATCACCGAACCGACATTCTTTATCGGTGAGGACTCACATAACACGATTTGGATCATTGCCAGCACACGCTTCCGTAATAGAACAATCTCCTTCGACGAAAACTGACGAGAGCGTCGAAGGGTCGTTGCAGTAGGAACCTTCCAGTAAATCCACGATAGACAACGCACGAAGTGACGCGTAGAAGCTGGAGACAAGTTCTTGTTGTCCTTACGCGTCATAATTTCCAGTTTGTCAAACAAGATGTCTTGAAGATCCACCGGTGCATTCACCCATATCCGAAAGTTGAACAGCAGAAATTTATATATCTCGTCCGCCAGAATACGATCCGAGATCACCGCGCTACGCAATCGCTCAATCGCAACCAGAAGATCGGACGTCAAGTACTGCGGTGGCAACGAGCGCATTAGCAGTGCCATAAGACGCACGCCTTGGCTGCGCCGGAAGATAAACTTGTTAACCAGTGAATGGCGCATGATTTCTGCGATCAGCAGTACAACCTTTGGAATGCTGTGTACCCCCATTGGACGTGCAAGCAAATCGCTCATTTGTCTGAGAAAACCTGAATCTTCGTCGAATTGGGTCGTCAAAGCCACACTCAGTCCTGACAGACTGTTGATTGCAACAAGACATGACTCTGATGTGCCGTCTTCGTTTTGGTTGGTTGCTGTAGCATTTGCTGTCGACACAGGCGCAGTTGTAGATGTCACAAGTAGCGGAAGACAGACAAGCGGACCTCCGAGTTGTGCCACCGCTTGCTTAAACGTTCCTGCGTGCCGTAGTCGAACTCCTGCACTGGCCGCAGCCGCGTGGAAGTCATTGCCGCTCGAATCATAGCACATCCCTTTTAGTCGATCGCAGTGCCGGGCATCATAGGCGAGCAGCAATCCATCCGTCGAGCTTCCTGTACCATTGGTTCCTCCGGATGTCCCCGTGGGTCCGTTAACACCACCACTCGATGACGTGGATGATGACGAGATGTAAGAATTGAACTGGAAAACTAGCGCATCGTACTCGTCGACGCTGCTGATATTGTTGATGATGCTTGCCGGTAAAGCTTGTCCAAAGAGTGCCGTGGGTCCGAGCAGGATACGTAGAGAGTTGGATCCATTGCTTTCGCGCATAGCTAAATATGCCTTGACGACAGGGGCCATGAGTGCTGTGTTCGGGTATGCCAAGCGCACACTCTGACGCAGTTCAGAGTTTAGATAAACGTCAAGTCGCGATCCACGAAACTGGCGATGCGTGTGCGTGATACACAAAAAGTGCCACCTCCCCGGCGTGACGAGATCCGGCACCTCAACGTGTCCGTCGTTCTTTCGCTTGTCAAAACTCGTGACCATCAACGACGAGCGCATGAAGGAGCACATGATGCCAACTCCTGTTTTGCCACAAAAAGTAAAGAGCGGCGCTGCTTCCTCGGGCAGCAGCTCAAACTTAATCCATGCGCAAAAGGTGTATCCATTGTTCGGAAACGCCGGGAGCACAGGCATCAACAACCCCGAGAACTCGCCGTTCAAGTCGAAAAAAGACGCGGGACCAAACGAGTCGCGCGCAATCATCTCGAGCGTCGACAAGTAGTAGCTGACGGACTGATCATCGGGCGCCTCGTGTACCATGCGCTGACTGCGAAACACCGCGAGCATGGCCTGAATGTCGCCAATGCTCACCGAGTGGTAAGCCAAGTAGAGAAACACGCGCAGCAGTTTCTTGAGCACCGTGTGGGGCAGACTCGGGTCGGCAAAGAGACCGCGCTCACTCAGGAAGCGCAGGATCTCGCGCTGCAGACCGGCAGTCGAACAGGCCTCGACATTGCCACAGCTGCTGCGCACGAGACTGATGAGCGCCTCCAGGGCTCGGAGCTGCTCGCTCTCTTCCAGCACGCCAATGATGGTACTGAACAGTGTCTTGAGCCGTGACGGCCGCCGGATCTGCAGTCGTGTCGCGTCCGCATCGCTGTAGTCCTTCCCGCCCACTAATCGTGACAACAATTGTATTGCAATAGCGACACACGGCACGACAATAGGACGTTAACTCACGCGAAAGATCATACATAGTCTATCCGCATCAGCACACATGAGAGCGTACGTACGCAGGTCCCGTAGGAAAGTGGAAACGGTCGATTGCGGCTCCCCCGCGCTCATGTCGGTCACAAAAGAGGGGGTGAGTGGGGACGCCTCGTGCGACGCGATTGTGTGTGCGTGTGTCCCGCTCGCTCGCTCGCTCTCTCTCTCGCTCTCGCTCGTTTGCGCTCTTATTAAAGACTGATCCGTCCACGACACTTGTGTGAAGGCCTTGTTCCTCTCGAAATTGCATGGTATACAAACACCAAGTCATCGAGCCGCACGCGTCGCCTCCTTTTTGTGCGAATTCGATTTTGGGGGCAAGAAATGGGTACACCGGGACACGAGAGCTGCTCGACGGACGCAAAAGCGTTGACCACCAGATCTGTAAAGTGCCTTCAGGTCCTTTAACTCGGTGTGCACACGCAGGAACAGCACTAAACGGATAGTAGAGCTCACAGCAGAAACAGCAACACCAGAGCGTGCAGTACCTTTGGCGCAGGCAGCAATGGATGTGCGTCTACACTGGAAATGTCGGTGAAGGTGTCGCGCGGATCGCTCGCGTAACATTTGCACCGAGAGCTACATCTTCATCGATAGATGACATGGTACTAGCAATGGAGTTGTAGCTGCAGGTCGTCATAGTACGCCTCTGATCGACCGCCTGACCGTGTAACGTATGCGCTCGATAGCTCAAGGTGGACTACCGATGAATGGCCCCAGCTACGCGATGTTTCCGACGGATCTGTGCGCGGGGGTTCGTGCTGACACAAGTGCTTGACGACTGGCAACGACAATGATTGACCGCCACTAGTCTACGCTTACGTCTATTGAACAGCAAAGTACTGCATTTGGTTTCGTGGTAGGATCGCAGCGGGTTTGTCGTCATGTCTTTCGGACCAGCAGGGCGCAAAGCTGCTCGAGATACTTTCGATCGTGTACCAGCTATCGCATCGCTACCTTCTCATCGTCCCTGACGCCTGATTTAGACCGGCAGGCACATTCGATAGCTGCAACTCACCCGCTATCTGCATGTTACGCTTTACGTCGTGCCGAGACTGGTGGTCATGCTCGCAGATACCATACCACGCAGGGACTTCCTGCTGAATCCGTTGCAGTGTGCACAAGCGTTTCGCTGGCGGGATAACATAGAGCGCCTCATCGGGAGCTCAAACCTGCGTCTGTCCCCACATGGCGTGCAGCTTGACCGCACTGCAGCGTGACTCCCGCGAGGATGTGATGGTGCGAGAGCGAGAGTCATCGCATGGAGACAACCACGCAAGTATCGTACTCCAACGCACCAAAACCACCCCCAATCAACTTGTTGCAGCACCCGCCATCGCCAATCGCTTCACGAATCAAACCAAACACGTCCGCCCACAGCCATTCAACAGAGTGTCGTGGCTTTGCAATCGCTGTCTCGTCTTTTACCTCTGCGAGCTAATGCAGACGCGTCTGATTGCAGTCGGCGATCACTACGAGCTCATCAGCAGCCACTTCTTCCTCTTTTGTGTTGCGTTCCTTCACCGGTATCAACCGCACGAGGAAGCTGCTCCGTAGAAAAATGACGCGTGGTCGCACAGTCTGTGTGTACCATACGCATCGAGGTATTTGCACAGTACCCGCGTATCGCATTGACAATATGACGACACGCTTTCCGAGAAGAGAAAGAGAACGTTACCATTTTGTTCTTGGGATACCTTTGAGGCCGCAATCCATTCAGTCAGTGCTTGCGTTGATGGTGACTTTCGGCACAAAAAAGAGCTTTGGAAAAAGCGCCGGGTGCCTCAATTTCAGCAAACACGTCCTACCTGCACACATTGCTGCCTGTCAGTGGCATCAGTGTCCAGCACTGCACAAGTCTCGTTGTCGCAATCTACGGTGCTCCCTCCGATAGTCAAGGGGTCGATGGATGGAGAATTTCTGCGCGCTGGCAGAGGCCAGACCTTATCGGGTTGTTGCGCAGTGGCATTCATGTGTGGAGTCAGTTCATCAAACAGCGAACCGCAGGCAACAAAAGGAACGCCAGTATCTCATCGAGCCATAAACCAAACTGTACAAGACTGGAAATTGATTCCAAAGGTACTTGGCTACAGACTGGTTGACAAGACGCTTTACCTGAACGATCCTTCCTCGACTCGGCACGTGCCGAAAGGTGCGAGACAACTTCAGACACGTTTGCGCCTATTTCCATCAGAATTGATGTCATGCTGAAGCTGTAGTTGGATCGACAGCGTCTCCTTCACTGACAATGTTCCATCGCATGTCACAGATGACTTGACGCTTGCCATCTCAAAGCTCAGCCTCGATTGCTAAAAATGGCGGCCGAGACCCAGCCAATGCATGCCGGCGTCATCGCGGCACTCAGGCGGCGCTGCAACCACTACTATCAGCAAATGCGATTGATAGTGACGAATCTGGAGAGATAGAGAACGTCTGCAAATTAGTTGACATGCCGTCACGCGCCAGTCGGCAGGAGCGTGGACCGAGATCTTGGTCATTACCGTTCACAATAGCTTGACCACACGAAAACGTTTTCTTCATTCCGTGTCTATGTAGCTGATTTGGCGATGAAGAAAACAGTGATGGTTTGAAGAAGGATGAGGAGGTGGTCGTTGAACAGCAGCAGAAGCAGGAGCCGGGGCTAAGCTCGAACAGCTGCGTGATCGGACTTTCGTGTCGAATTTGGAGCGCCTTGGTCACATCGAAGAGGACGGCAGTGCTCAGCTGGAGCTGGACGGAAACGAGATTCCAGGAGAGGTCAGAGGAGGAGAAGAAGGACGAGAAAAGCAGTGAACCGGTCGAACATGCGGCATCCGTTGCAGAGAGATTCATCGACATTGGAACGATCGACGTCCCATGTGATGCTTGCAGCCTGCTCGATGTATCCCAGGAAGTCGCCGGGATGCAAATGAGCTTCTTTGCAGTCTCCGACTCGATACTTACAACGCACACAGCGCCCGATGCGTCCTTGACGTGTGGCTCAACCAGCGTTTCCTTCCCGACAAAGTCAAATCCAATCCATGACCGTCGCGTTTGACCTGTCTTCTATCATGCTACGAACGAGCCGGATGGACGGATCCACACGAACAAGATTAGCATGTCTATCGTAGCATAAGCTTGTACCTTTGCAGTTATTGAACAAGACGCCAAAGTCACAAATTTGTAAACGCTATTGAACAAGACGCCAGTCACAAATTTGTAAACGGCTGTTTACTGAAGGGTGTAACTAAATGGAGGACAACGTATCGGAAGAAGCGCACGAGTCCACCAATGTCCGTGCTTGTGTCAGATGAGTGCTACGAGCTGACCCTGCAGGATCAAGTGAGTACCACTCGTCCCATCCGCAGTGGCGCTGCGCTCGAGTGGGCAGCAGGTTATGCGAAGAATGACCTTTGCCTCTATCGGTTTACACACCGGTGAAAAGACTGTGCATCGGAACTAGTGAATGGACGAGACCTATCGACGACTATCTGACAGAAAACGAGGAAAAGCAAGAAGGACTGCACTGGCGCGGCATGGAAGCTCACGGTTTTATTGGTGCTTAGGAGGCCTACCCTTCGTTACACGCGGACGGGCCCGTAAAGCATTGACTTACGCGAACGAGTGTGAGACAGTGCTTTGCAATCATAACTGACGTATGCGACCATGCTAAACAAAGAGATTAGGTAGTCAGTAGACGTGAGTAAACAAAGGCTTCGAGCACCAGAGAGTGGTCAGGACACTGTCGAGACTAGCCTACCGAACACGTTACAGCGCGTTGCAAACGATGGAACGGAGAGCAAGTGAGCCACTTGCCGCTCGGGCCCACATAACTCAAAGAATCGACAACCACATATCGCGCAAATGACCGAAACGTTATGCTTCTCATTCAGACGGTTCTGATCTACGAATAGATGGAGGCAAAAAAGGCATTGCTCGCGTCCATGTCGCTGCATCTCTGAGCTCAAACAAAGGCCTTAAAACGGATCAGGCACTAACTACATATCCAGCGCGAAAGCCGCAGCGGCAGGTCAGGGACACTCGTCCTCATCACATCTGACGGCGTCGCCAATGGCAGTTGCGACTTGTTGTTCCTTTTCTCAGATGCATCCAGATCTTCCCGAATAGAACAAACCCACATACACGACTGGAGGATGCATGTCGTGTTTATGCACCACAAACAGGTCCTTTGCCATTCGAGACATGACGTTACTGCAATAATGTGTACCACACCATTTTGACGCACACACACACATGCTGCCGCACCGAGTTCCTGTGGCGACGACCTGGAGACAGCGCGCAATGCCGCGTCAGCGGGTCCTGTACCGCGTGCTGTGCGTCCTGATTGTGGTAACGGCTCTTCAGACGCTTCGATTCGTGTATAGCAAGTGCGACACGCGTGCGCCCATGTCAGTGCTGCTGACCAAAACGTCGCGGATCCTCCAGCACCACGACGTCGAGTACTGGCTGGACAAGGGCACGCTGCTTGGTGTCCATCGCGACAAAGCGCTGATACCGTGGGAGTACGACGTGGATCTGGGCGTCATGAACGCCACGTGCAGTTCGATCGCAGCGCTAAAGAGCGAGTTCGAAGCTGTTGGGCTCGCGGCGTATGACCGCGAAGACGATATCCCGCACAAGGTGAAGCTCACGTACGACACGGAGAACCACGAGTTGTACTGGTCGGACTCGCGGCTGCATGATCCGTGCATCCGCGTGTATGACACGACGGACGTCAGCACGTGGGTGGACATATACTGGTACGTAGAGCTTACGCCCGAAGAAGTGGTAGCTGATCGCACAAACGTGCTGGTGCCGCCGGGCTATAATGGCAGCGACAGCCTCGTGTGCTGCTCCGAGGGGCTGCAAAACCATACGGAGCACATGTGCTGTGGTGGCTGTGTGCCGAAAAGCTCGCTGTTCCCACTACAGCGCAAGCGCGTGAACGTACCTGACGGCGTCGAGCCTGTCCAGGAGCAGCCAGTACCAGCGGCAGTGTCACAGTATCTGTCGATCCAGTACGGTGAGGACGCACTTACAAGTCGTGAGATCAAGGTAAGACGACTGAGGTGTGGTGAAATGCATGGTGTTTCTTGACGACAGCGATGATAACACACTTGCTTGGGCTTTGTACGGCAGGGATGGAAGAGCGTAGTGTGTGGTTTCTGGACACGTCCGCTGCTATTCCTGGTGCATCTCGTCCTGCTCCTGAGCTTGTCGCTCGGTTTGGCAGTATGGTATCGACGCGGATGCGTTGCCACAGGCTCCACGAAGAGGAGGAAGCTCTAAGACAGAGACAGATCGAGACAGCACGCCGTCACCAGGTCTAGCCATGAACATGAACGTGTACGTCTGGATTGCATCTATTGGCACGGACGTCCGACCTGTTTCCTAGCAGAGTGCTCAATCGCGTGCGCTGCACTAACTCACCATAGTCTGCACCGCCCCCTGGCAGCCTCCAGCAAACGCACGCACGCCAAAGAGGGACAGGGACCAGCACTTGACAAAGACGCAACGCGGCGGTATCTGAAGATCGTGTCGATGGACAAACCGCTACTTGTTCTTCTTTGGTTGCAATGAGCGGTTTCGGGCGGCCTTTCGTGGGCCGTCGTGCGTGGCTTTCGTTCGCGTGTTACAACGCACGGTCTGGTTTTCGCCGTTTTCCGTGCTTTTTCGCCATGTAGAGTACCGCAGACAACGCGTCGATGCATCGCGTTTGACAGTGTATCCGATTCTACGTTTGCCGTCGCGCGCTTGTCGCCTCCAGCGGGTCTTGCTTCTCGACTATTCTGCGCTCTCTGCTGCTGAACAGGTACCGCTTTGGGCGTGCCGTCAGATATCGCTTTTCTCAGGGTATTCGATCTCCGCATCGCCTCGGTCGCCCGATCGACCGGCGCCGCCTCTCTCTACCGCCCGCCACGACACGACCGACAACCGACTGCAGTCATATTCCAAGTTCACTCGTCCAACACAAGTGACCGCAGACGACGTCGTCGTAGAAGTGGCCTCTCGTCCGACACGTACACACCCACACAACAGACGTACCACGTCCAAGAACGTAGTCAAACCCACATACCCACATACCCACACGTACCCACATACTCACACACACGCATAGGCTCTGATGGACGAGGAGTTCTCTACGGTGATGCCGCCGCGGCCGAGCGCCAAGCGACTGCACCGCAAGTCGGAGTCTTCGCCAGAGGTTCTGCTGCAACAGCAGCAGCAACAGCGCCTGAAACGGGAGATGCATCTCACGCGCGAACTCATTGACTTTGACCTGATCAAAGGGTACACCAGCAACCGCGATAGCAATAGCAATCGACTTTGTCTCCGAAAGGGCTCTCACGTGTACTCACTCTGCTCTGTCATGTGCTTGCGATCGATTTTGCAGGTCCGCGCTGTTCCATACGAAGCCTTCGAGCCACGACCGCAAGCTCGTGCAGAAGGGGTTCACGCGCGCCCTCTTCCTGCCGTTCTACGCCACGTTCTGGCAGCACAAGCCGTGGCTGTACCGGACGTCGACGGCGCTCTACGCACTGCACTTTGTCGCCGTGTGCATTTACGTTTTCCAGCACAAGTCCACGTCGCCGCATAACGCGTTCGAGGTGTTGTTCCCGATTTTCCTGTTGCTGCTCGTCGCGATCGCCTACGGCCGCGTGTCGAGCGCACTGCAGATGCCTGACATTGCCGATCCGGCGTGCAAGATCCTGTCTCCTGTCAAGCAGGTGATGGAGAGCGTGTGTGGCTCCGAGCTGGACAGTATCCATGCAGCGTCCGGACTGGGGTCAGCTCTTGCCGAGTCGGAGAACTCGGACGGCACCGACAGCGACGAAGACAGCGGCAATTCGTCTTCGTCCAGCGACGAGTCGAACCCGAATGACGACATGTTTCCGCACAAGAGTAACTCTGCTCCATCGTCTCCCAAATGCGTACGTGCCGCCGCTGCCAGCGCTGTGTTTGTGTGTATTGAACACGTTGAGACTCAACTGTGTGACGTGTTTTGCTGTTTGCACCTGTAGGCACTGCGTCAATTGATTGGCAGCCCGACTCTGTCTTTGCCGCCACGCGTGCCGTCGGGCTTAGGCTTTGACCGCGACGACCAGTTCGCGAGAAGACGCGTGACTGTCTGCGTGTGGGAGCATGGCAGTCCCGTAAAACGAGCCATGTCGATCACAGAGCTGCGAAGCACGATTCTTGCTAAGGTGATGATGCTGACCTACATACGAGCGAGCGCTGCCGATGAGACTCTTTTGGCGGTAGCAGCTCACCCGCACTTGTGTATGAACGCTGTGCTTATAGGTGAAAGTGACACAGGTTCGAATGTTTTACCGCAAGGTCGCAGAACTGTCAGCGATAGTACTCGCATTGGTGCCGATTGCGCTACGATCTGCAACTAAATGCCAGGAGTTCAACTGCCTCACGGTGACGCAAGAGCCGCTAGAAATGCTCGTATGGGTATCGCGGTTGTTCAAGGAGTTGTCGCTGGATCGGCTGTATCTACACGCGCAAGAACTCGCGTCTGGCGCGTCCGTCATCTCGATTTCATGCATGCTGACAACGTATTACTTGGCATCCATCATTTTCACTGCTCTCGCAGATGCCGAAGTCACATACCACCGCCGATTCCTGTAAGTGCGATGGAAAAGTATATGACGGGTGTCGCGGACCGCAACAGCTCACTGTGTTGCGTTTGTAGATACGCGAAGTGTTTTACGGCGTTGACGTCGTCACGACGCGCACGAATGGCAAACCTGCCTCATTTCCGCTTGAAGAACGTGGTGAACATCAAAGCGTGGATCTCGCTTCGCGGTGGACGCACTTGGCTGAAGCGTCAAGGCCGCCAACGCGCCGCCGACGAGATCGTGTCGACGTCCTTTTTGATCATCCTCGTGCTGCTCGTCGTCATGGGAATGCAGGCTGTGTCGGACGGGTCTGGCTCTCTATCGGCCGACAGCATCGTCCCGATTGAAGTGACGATTTGGTGCATGCTTACTTCGTACGTTCATTGTGCACTGGCTTTGTTTATGCTCGAGAACTGTGGCCAACGTTTGTGATCTGCTTGTTGTTGTTGTCGTCTCGCAGCGTGTTCATGCTGCGTTTCATGATGCTGGGCTCTAACATCAACAAGAAGTACCAGAACACATCGCTGCTATTGACTGAGCAGGTTTGTCATGTGTGTCTCGATTGGTCGCGCGATTCGCTGTGTGTGGGAAGCCAACGTTGCTGTTGCTGTTGTTGGCACAGATGAACGTCTACCTCCGCCTGCTGGCCAAGCCGCACAAGAAGGACAAGCTCTTGGTCTCAAACAACGTACTGAAGCTCGCATGTAAACTACTAAAGGTGCGTTGTCGTGCAGACGTACTTGCAAACGGCCGTGTTGGTATCCAGTGTGAGCACGTTGTTGACTTTGTACCACTTCTGCAGGAGCTCAACTCGCCCAATAAGGTGTCTGGCCTGACGATGAACCCGCTGCTGTACAACATTACGCGCGTGGTGGTCTTGTCAGCCTTCTCGTCGACTGCGTCGGATTTCTTCGGCTTCAAGCTGAAACTCTGGAAGCTCAAGGCGTAAGAAATGCGGAGAAGAGGGTTCGGCTTCCGACGAACGTCGTGAGCCAAGCGCGGTGCACGACGCGAAAGAAAACGAACGAGATGGACAGGCAGGTTGAACTGACGAAACAGGACGCATTATCGGATCTTGAGTATCCGCGTTGGCTGCGATTTGCTGCTAGAGTGGCAGCACAGTTGCATCGCCGTATCGCGCGTCTTGATTCTTCTGGCCTGTCGAAGCGACAGCGCCTGAACGGTAGTACGTGGCGCATTGTGAGGCATAGAAAACAATACATGTGCTACACACGGGTGGATTTATCCATCTCGCTGTCTGCTTTGCATCATCAGCTCTTCTTATGGCACATGTACGTACCACGTCGATGTCTTCACATGGAACTATTCGATTACCATGACGCGCACAGGAATAGCAGCAGAGTTGTACCCACTGCCGATAGATGCAGAAGAACACACCGTACACGAGTCACGCGTGGCGCAGAGTGAAAAGTGAATTTTATGAGTTATTGCGCTTAAGTTACCTCCTACAGAGGGGACGCGAGTCTTCCGCTACAACGCGCGCGCGCGACAGAGAGGAAGGGAACCCGCTGACGGTTAAATACTATGCATCTAGAATGGCGGGGTCGGGAACTCGCGCGACGTGCGCAGCAGCAGCGACTCGAGCTTAGACGGCTTCGTCGGACAAATGGGTGTCCGATCGACCTCTGCGTCGGCGACGCCCATGACCTGCGGCACGTCAGCGAACGACACGCGCACGGCCGAAGAGCTCTTGTGTTCCACTGTTGGCTTCTGCAGCGTGTCGACCATTGCGTGGTCGACTTTCAAGCGCTGGTACTTGAGCGTAAAGCGCTTCATGTACGAGTCCGCCGCGAGCAGGAACGGCAGCGCCTGTTCCGGTTTGTTCTCGTGCCAGAGCTGAGCGCCGCGGTCCCGGGCCACGGACATGGCGCGCCAGAGCACGGAGATGTCCCGACTGCTGGCGTCAAAGCCGCTCAGGAGCGGGAATTCACTGATGGCCGAGGGACTGCTGGGCGGCGACGTCACGGCCTCTTGCGCCTGAATGAGTGCCATGGTCCACATCTGCTCGGCCTCCATGTGCAGCGTCTCGTTGCGCTCGGTCTGCGCCAATAGCTGCGCCATGCGGTTGCGCGCGAGCTCGAGGAACCGCACGCACGTGTGGGGCTCGTAGACGCCCATGTCGCTCAAGATCGCCAGCTCTTTGGCAATGGCAAACAAGTTGCGCTCCATCACGACGCTGTTCATGTCCGAGGCCCACGCCTCGACGAGGATCATCTTGAGCTTGAGCTGCAGCGAGAGGCCCATGAGGCTGCGGCGCAAGAGCTCGTCGCTCTTCTTGTTGGCAGTAGACGACACGGACGACGACGTCGCTGGTGCGACTTGCGGCGTCTGCAATGCGCTGCGCACGGGACTCGACGACAGGTGCAGCGACGGCATGGCCAGGAGCTTGCTCGGGGTCACGGGCTCGACGCTGCGACGGCGTTTCTTGCTGGCGGTTGCGGTCGTCGCGTCAACACGGTGGAGCACTGTCATCATCGTAAGTGCGTAAGTTGCGCAGTGTGTTGCAATCGGCTTTTGGGTGGCGGCGGTGCGACTGTCCTTTTGTCTGGAAAAAGGAAGTGGGTGGGGTGGGCCTCTTGTTGCTCGATGGTCTGATGATAGACTGGTGGACTGCTGGATAGTTAGTAGTCGGTCAGTCGCTGAGTCAGTCAGTCACTTTGTCACTCAGTCAGTCGGGTGGAATTGGCGATTCGATGGCTCGATCCGGTTGGGAGGCGACTGCGGGTTTTGAAAAGTGAGCGCACGGTTTGCAACGGTCTGTGGATTTTCCAGACCAGTCAGTCAGTCAGTCAGCAGGTCATTACAGACAGCCAGCGTTCGGCCGCCCGGAACGGTAACGGCCAGAGGCGGGCCACGAACGTCAGACCCGCCCTCGCGCGCTGTCACTGGTGGAGGCGAAAGAGCGGGTTCGCGCCCGCGGCGGGCTCCGGCTCCCTTGCCCGCCCCGAGCTGGCCACATGTCAGCATGGCACGCCGACCGTGGCGCCAGCAGACGGCGCGTTTTTCGTTTCGTACGACGCGCCGATTGAGCGCCGACTGGTTCTCTGTCGACTGTCTCGAGCTTTTCCCTTGCGGCGTTATTGGCGTTTGCCTGGTACGAAAGAGAACACGAGCGAGTGGCGTTGTCGCTCAATACACGCTTTTGTGTATGCAAAAGCCGTACCTGCTTTAGACTCGATGGATGACGGCAGGTGGCAGTTGACCCTTTGTCTTGGGGGGTCGACAAGTCGCTGGCTTCGACCGTTTGCGACTGCCCGTCGGGCCGTTTCGTTCCAGCACATGTCCGACACGTGGATGGCTACTCGAAAGCGCAACGCATGGACGAGGAAAGTCGTCGTGGGTCTTTTTGATGGACTTGTTCGCTGCAACGCGACATCTGCCGAGTTTCTCTTCATCCTGACCTGGACATGTACGCGAAAGACATTTGCAGTCACTCTGACGGCTGCCGTCAGGACAAGACACGCCGGATGTAACTGCTCGAAACCGCTCTGATTAGGCATCTGCCGTCCGACGCGCCACAGCGTTTGCAGCGGCGCTTCTACTCGGCGTTTCGAAGGGGGAGGTAGTACTTGCTGGAAACCGTCGCGTCCCACGAAGACGAGAGAGAAGCGGGCGAGCGAGCGAGCCGATAGACACGACGACATGGACGGCGTATCCTAGCCATTGCCTCTTTTCTACCATGTCGACATGTTGTGGTCGCATGCTTCTCGTTTCTGCGCACGCGCTGCTATGGTGGAGCTCAGACGCAACTTGATTCAGAGAAAGGCTGTCCGCTTCCCTCGTCCGCATGGATGGGATGCCGCTAGCAAATCGTTGAACGGCTCGACCAGTTCGCTTACCTCACGAGCATAATCGTCGAACGGCCCAACCACAACCAGAGAGAGCCGACCAACGGGCGACTCAGTGCTGGCGACGCGCCCACGGGACGAGCTGAATCGACCGGATGGTGCTCGACATTTCTCACGACTTGTCATGTCTCCTTCTCGTTCCACTCGATTCATTATCAACAACACGTATCGTCAAAGATTCGGTTCCACTGCTCCGGATATGTATCAAGCCGGAACACACGCCGCCGGAGGCACAGCACAGGCTCTCGCTCGGTGCGAGCCATAGAGATGGCTACCGAGTGTCGTCGGCCGCGACATGTGCCGTCGTACCTTTTCGTAGGATGAACGCCCTTTTAATCCTTGCCGGATCTCGCGGACAATCGACGGCTCATCTGAGGGAGCCATGATGCGGTCGAGGGGATCAAGGTATTGTCACTGCCCTTTGCTCCATAGGCCGGCCATAGCGAGGTTTTGTCCAAGGAGGCCCTTCCCGAGCCCGACGCGTCTTGCGTAGTGGTCTGGCTTCCCGACGCCCATCGAGCTTCACGATCGTTGATGGTGCGGTGTACCATGATCGTACGTACGACTTATGCTGTCGTGTGAACGCAATGGTTCTGGCTGGATTGGGTCCCTCCACAGGTGTACAGTTGAGCAGTGCAGATAGGTTCATGTCGTCCGGCCGGCAGCCACACTTGCGCATTTGCCGGTAGACGACAGAGGCAGAGCCTTCAGCTGATTTGCTCTTAAAGATGGACATGTGCAGAGAGAAGATTGAGGTGAGCAATGCTCTCGATACCACGGCGCGTAGTTGCATTGGGTCGGTCCTTTATCAAGCCAGGAGCAGTAGAATTCAGTCAAGGGGTCTTATCTTTCGAAACGCATTTTGACGTCCACAGTTGCTGACGATGTAGACATATTTCAACTTGGAAACAGCAACACCTATCTGTTGTCTTATAGATAGAGAAGTCTTCTGGCACGACAAGCGCACTGGTTATAGGGGACTTTATCACAAACGAAGGAGTCAGAAATCGTGTTGCGGTGCAATCCTCATGTACCAGCCCATCAACAAGCCGAAAGGATTTGAGGCTGCTTCGTCGCATACGAGTTGATGACGAGCCTCAGCGCTAGTCCGGACACCGTGAAAGGGCGACAACCTCTGCTCTGGACCAGACCTGGTCATTTCACATATGCGACAAGCCGCTGAAACAGAGAATGGCGGAGACCGTCAACAATTGTGAGCAAGATTTGTGTTGCAACGGAGCAAACGCTAAGAAGCGAATGAAGACAACGACGCTTGAGCGAGTAGGTATACGCTGCATGCATAGTGAACAACTTACTTGCATTCGACGGCTTTGGTTGCTGCATATGTATATCGATGATGATTGAAGTATACATTTGTCGATTTGGAACGCCGGGAGGCTTGATCCCATACCGCTACCGTCAATCACCAGAGACGTGAGAGTAGTGTGGAACGTACGCGGAACGCGAGCAAACGTACTGAGACACCGATGGTCTATCGATCCGTGATGTCGCAGGACCTCCAAGTCGCATGAAATCCTGATGTTAGCAGTCCTCAACGGAACTACAGTGTAGTTGAGCTCACCGATGCGTTCGCCGCAAAAGCAGGTGCACATGCGCTTGGGCAAAGTGTGAACGGACCCCATGCAAAGAGATGAAATCGTGCAAGCGGCCTACGAACCAAAGATCACGAGCAGCAACCACGCCACCAACGCAGTCACCGCATTAATATCCACACTACAAAAGTCCACGTGCAGGCTTTGACTGCCCATTCCTTCGGGCACAGTGTATCGGGTACCGCAGATACCCCCCACATTAAACACGGGGCAGTTCACTCATATCTACTGATCGACAAAACAGTCGCTCAGAGTACCATGTCTGCTTTCACGCGTAATGCCAACGGCGTTGCGACTCGCACCTTGGAATATGAGGCCTTGTATCGCGACGCGCATCCTATCACTTGTGGACACTTGACTTGCCGCTACTGTCGAAACTGTGGCTGACAGACAAGCAAGTAAAGATCCCGTGTGTGCACTTTAGCTTTGCTGTTTCAGTTGGCCCCGTATGAATTTGCTACAACCTGCAGTCCTCACGGCTGAAGCCACCTTTTGCTGCAGCGTAGCTACGGCAAAATGCTGACCGCGATCAGTTCTTCGTCTGCTGAAGAATAACAAAATGCGACTCGAAACGCGATGCTAGGCTCTACGAAGCACATGCATCCACTCCTGAGACGAAAGACACGAGCATGAGATGTGGAGACACTAGTCGTCATGAAAGACTGCGACTGAGCAACGATAACAGCAATGTCGATGGCCCGAACGTATGCTTGCGAGTGCAAAGCCATACTAGATAGACTGGAAAGTATTTTCAAGCTCGCGTATGTTAAAACGCAGCCATGTCCTAACGCCACACGAGTCCGCGCAGTATACTGGAAAGACAGTGTGCGGCAAATTGTGTCGCACCGCCCGAGTTGTTGCAAGGTGTCAAAGCAGTTCAGCGATCCATTGCAGCCAAGAAACACACCTCTACTCCCGGATGTGCGCGCATCCCGAACGACGCGGCGCTGTGCATGCTAAGGAAGGGGCGCACGGTGTCAAGGCCCTGATGTCTTTCACCGTGCAGTGCGTTCAGGACAGGGCGTGAAAAGTGCGGTAAAGCTGTGAGGAGAACATGGCGCATCACATTGCCATGTGCTGTGTAGACTAACGGTATGTGTGGGTCGCGAACGATGGATACGAAGCGCTGTTGCAAAGACTGTAGCAAATTTCAGCGATTGCTTTCGGAGCGAGCTAAGTGGTGGAAGTGATGGGAGACCACCTGCGTCGCCGAGATCGTATCGACGTTTGCTGCGATTAAAAGTTGCGTTGACGTGCAAACAAAAGCGCCACCGAATTGAGCAGCTTTCGCTTTTGAAGCGGTCAGCCCTAGCTCATCTACCTTCGTGGTACAAGACTCTTCGAATTTCCGATGTTGTAAAGCCTGTCGTAGGGGTACAGAACGATTGTAAAGCAAATGCGAATGTGTCAATCTCTTCACGATACGGCAAAAGCCAAATCAAGAGCTGTCTTGCTTTCCCAATGCAAAAATTACAAGGTCCAGCGTCTGCCCTTAGCCCTTGTATATCGTCACGGCGGCCAGACGTATACTACTCGCCGCTGCAGTAACTTCGTTGCGTACAGGGATGCCCAAAGACGAGATGTGCGGAAAGAGGTCAAACAGGCGTTGTTCGAAAAGCGCGCGAGATAGTCCACCTTCTTCATTGTGGAGGGTCGACGTCTCGTGGCATTTCATAATAGTCGCTTAACCATTTCATGGTCAAGCAACTATCGGTCCAATACTCACAAGAATGGGTCACACAAAGCGGTTTTTTGGCCGCGCGTGTCAGATACGTCGGTGACTACATGTACGTCTGGTCCACAACTTCGAAGGACCAGTCAGTCTTGTCCACTCATCGTCACGACCATTTGAGGTACAATGTCGGATCGAGTACACATGCCACTGATGTGTAAGCTGTTCACGTCTGATCCCCTGCGGTGTGATCGTCTTTTTTGAGATATCGACGTCTCACGTCGTGCAAGAGGCCATGAGCGCAGAGATGAGCGACAGCGGCATCCCGCGCACGTTCTTTTGTACAAAGACCTAGATCGGGTCTATCACATACTGCTCAGAGCTTTGTCGACGGACGAGCCTTTCGCATTTGTACGCACAATTTGTGGAACAGCTAGGTCTTGTATCGAACGTCTCGTCTAGAGAAACGCCTGCTGTGTCATTGTCAGAAGGGGCGAATCTGCGCGAAGAATTTGCTCCGCTTTGTTCACTCCAGCGATTGCACATTCTCCTACTGCAGCGTCTTAAACACTGTTGGCGAAGCTCACATGCTTATCGTGTTTAAAAAGAGCTTTTGGCATTCCGCCCTCTTATGGTTGAACCTGTCAAACCGGTTCTGCAATGTTCGCCCCTGTTTGTTTCATTTCTAACTCACTGGTTGATGAGGGCCCTTGCGAGTGACTCGCCATGGTCAATTATGCTCAACAACTCTCAGCATGTTGTCACGTATATATATAGTACCTTTGCCGTCGCGCAGGCGCTTTGTACTCTTAAGGCGCAAGTGCTCAGTGCTTGCAGCCTCCTGCCCTCCTCCTTCTTTGAGGCACCGAAATGGCAGTTGTGCTGTCACATCATCGCATTGTCACTGTCTTTGATGCAGCCACGAATGACCGCATATACACACTCTGTACAGTTGACGCCAGGCACGTAGGATACAATGCTCAAGCTTCTGTTGATGCAAAATGCAAAATTATAACCGCAGGCACTTACATGCGAGACAGATGAAGCACCAACCTGATGGGAGTGTCAATGTAACCTGCTATACAGTCATAGCTCACGACAACGTGCAGTACGTCTATGTTGCAACCTATCTCTTACACCTTGCAGATCGACACCTATACTGTCTTTGCAATGCCATCTTCGCTCTCGCGTGACTTCCAGTGTTTTTCTCAGTCCACTACTGTAATTATTGCTCACCAGTCAAAATAACCCATTTTTACAACCGCAGCAGCAGTAGCTCGCCATCATTTCCTCGTGTCCGTCGCTTGCCCCCCAAACATAATATCCACTCAATATATTACATCTCACAGCCGATTTGTTCCAGCCAGGACATCCATAGCGACCATGCGCGTAGCTGCTGCCCGCGCCGTCGCTCGCTCGCGTCTGTCCCCGCCGCTGCGCACGCCTCCACTGCTGACGACCGTGACACGTCCGCAGCTTCTGTGGCGTCTCTCTCCGTGCGCCACGCATCTGCCGCTCCTGTCGCTATGCGCCGCCAGTGGCTCTGTCCGCACCAAAACCAGTGAGCGCGCGTTGCGGCGCAAGAACTTGCGCAAGATGAAGAGCCAGAAGGGCGGCGAAGTGCCGATGCTGAAGGATACGCTGCGCAAGCTGTACCTGCGCACGCACCCGGACCTGTTTGGACGGTACCCGGAGCAGCAGCGCGCGAACGAGGAGTCGTACAAGGAGCTGCTGGGCATTTTGGATGCGATTGAGAAGCACAATGAGTTCCCTCCTGCCAAGACGTTGGTGCTGCGGTTCTTTCTGAAGACGCCAGTCGAGGGCGAGTTCAAGGAAGTGGACCTGCAGCTGCGCACGACTGGCGGTGCTTGCAACACACTCGTGGAGGAGGCTTTGGGTCGGTTTTTCGGCGAGTGTGGTCTCCCACAGGCATTTCAGTGGGGAGAAGGCAGCTGGGGCAAGGCTGTGGGCAAGACTGTGGTCGAGAACTCGAATCTGGGCTTCGACAAGGAGGAAGAAGCGCGTGAGAAGGCGAGCAAGGAGGCGGAGGAGGCGAAGCGTGAGGATGCAGGTGAGCAGCCGGAACCGGCGTTGGATCTGGATGATCGTAGCGTTACGATGGAGGATGCATCCATTGAAAAGGTGCTGAGCGAACTCAACGAGGTGTTTGAGATAATTGCTGCAGTGCCGCTGTTGGATGAGAAAGAGTACGGTGAGCTACGAGATCATTTTGAAAAGGGCGAGGGTCTTGATGAGATCGATGAACGTGGCTACACGATTAAGGCAGGCACGCACAAGATTTGGAACGGCGAGCGCAATCTCGATACAATAGTTGCCGGTGTCGACACGGATTCAGCTTTGATTCTACAGCGGATCCTGTTGCACACGCTTAACATTGACGTGAAAGTGCGCGAGATGCTTGCGAATGGTCGCAAAGACGCTGGCGATGACGAGTAGGAACCAGAAGCGAGCAGTAGATAGGGCATCTAGATTGTACGTCACACGCGGTGGGTTTCATGCCGCAAGTTCTTTTTGTGCTCGACGCACTCACATGTATGAGTCTGCTCAGCACGGCATACAGATTGATTCATCCGGGGTTAGTCCGCCCTGTAAGTGGAACAACACGTTTGCAATCTCACGACTACGATTTGTGCCACTGGATATCATAAGCTGGAGGAACCCGTATCGATTGAAAGCTTGAGGTGGCTCTGGTAGCACGATGCAACCGACATGGACGCCAGCGAATATGTAAAATATTGTTGCGTAAAGACCTTAGGGACCTGTAAGTCCACATGGCCTGAACCCTCGTGCAAATGACTCGTCTTGAGCCGCACTTCGGTACTGGCGTAGATGTTGCCAATCTCTACGAGACTTCACATTGCTGATGAGGTAAACCTTGGCGCTCTCACGTACTGCCTGATCTTCACGACAAACATGTTGCAAGACTCGAAATGTGAACCCTGTTGCGCTTGCGTGCAGCCCCTTCCGCAATGTTTAGCTTTCGCAACCCATCTTGCTCGAACAAACTGAACGTGAGACTGCATGTGGCGAACACATGACATGTCAATAGGGTTGCGGGCTTATCGGCATTCAAGACCCAGCAGGTGAAAATGTGAAAGCATTACGCCAAGACTAGACAGCGACTGAGCTGCCAACACTATTGAACATGACCAAAATGTCCGATGCGCCAAGTTGTTTGCCTGTCATGACGGGAGGTCTGCACGAGAATAATGCGACGAGATGACAGTCACGTGCCATGCATCCTAGATACTATCTAGATCGTACATTGCTGTGCAGACCACGATTTCTATCTGGAATACTCGAAAAACATCAGCGGAGTGATGAAATGTGAGTACTGTGACTTCCACTGGAATGTGCCGAGGGCGGTCACGTTCATCGATGTAGGGTACCAAGGTTCAGCTTGACGAATTGTCTTCTCCAATTTGCGTCCATCGATGGAAACATGCGCGGTCTGTGCATGCATCCGGATAGTCGTAGGCTTCACATGTAACTTCTGCTTCAGCGCGACTGCAGCTTTCAGCTGCTTGAACTTTAGCTGCAGTGCTTTTGTGACGTGGCATGCAATGCAACGAGCTTCGTTCAGGAACATGCGCGTGCTGATGAGCCATAAACTGTCAAGGCGGTCCCGCGCATGATCGGCGCCTGACTGTTTGGCTTTTGTAGAAACAGCGCATCTTGCCGCCAAACAACAATGTAGACCTTTGGGTGGCACTAATGAGTTCTTGACAACTTTTGCGTGGACCCTCACACTTCTTTCTGAGCAGAACTAAGTCGGGTGACAATGCGTCACGCTGGCAAGTATGTCTTGACAAAAACTCTACGACCTTTGCAGCCGTGCATAGTACAGTAGCATATATATTAGAATGAAAACCTTAAAAACAGCACTCAGAGAATCACCATAAGCTCAAGATGTCTACCCTTGTAACCCAACATTGTTCAAGAGGTACATGCATCAAGCTATCAACTTGCTAAACTTCGTACCTAACTTCGCGTGCCAGTATCGTTTTCTTCGTCCGCAACGCCTTCGCTGGCAATCATCTCGTTCATCTGCTTTTCAAATTCGAGCGTGTGCATGTATATCCGTTGTAAAATTATTGCTGAGTCGGCATCCATCCCCTTGATCAACGTGTTCAAATTCCGTTCACCCTGCCACATCCGAATCACACCACTCTTTGTCGTAAAGCCCTCCGAGTCGAGGTCGTCCAATCCTGTACCTTGCTCAAAGTGCACTTTGATGGCACGTTGCTGCTCATCTTCCTCATCCAGGTACGGCATTGCCGCAATAAGCTGAAGTGTGTCGTCTACTTCATTCAACATCTTCTCAATCGAGTGATCTGGAGCGCTACCACCGGAACGATTGTACGTTCGTTCCGGCTGCTCACCTGCATCCTCACGCTTCGCCTCCTCCGCCTCCTTGCTCGCCTTCTCACGCGCTTCTTCCTCCTTGTCGAAGCCCAGATTCGAGTTCTCGACCACAGTCTTGCCCACAGCCTTGCCCCAGCTGCCTTCTCCCCACTGAAATGCCTGTGGGAGACCACACTCGCCGAAAAACCGACCCAAAGCCTCCTCCACGAGTGTGTTGCAAGCACCGCCAGTCGTGCGCAGCTGCAGGTCCACCTCCTTGAACTCGCCCTCGACTGGCGTCTTCAGAAAGAACCGCAGCACCAACGTCTTGGCAGGAGGGAACTCATTGTGCTTCTCAATCGCATCCAAAATGCCCAGCAGCTCCTTGTACGACTCCTCGTTCGCGCGCTGCTGCTCCGGGTACCGTCCAAACAGGTCCGGGTGCGTGCGCAGGTACAGCTTGCGCAGCGTATCCTTCAGCATCGGCACTTCGCCGCCCTTCTGGCTCTTCATCTTGCGCAAGTTCTTGCGCCGCAACGCGCGCTCACTGGTTTTGGTGCGGACAGAGCCACTGGTGGCGCATAGCGACAGGAGCGGCAGCTGCGTGGCGCACGGAGAGAGACACCACAGACGCTGCGGACATGTCACGGTCGTCAGCAGTGGAGGCGTGCGCAGCGGCGGGGACAGACGCGAGCGAGCGACGGCGCGGGCAGCAGCTACGCGCATGGTCGCTATGGATGTCCTGGCTGGAAATGGATGGCGAAGGTGAATCGTACCTACACAGATGTTTGGTGCACGTGCGTACCTAACGATCCGACGTCCTGTGGACAGTGCATCGGTCGTACAAGTACGACGTTTGCGTGCAGCGGGCGGCTTTACATTTGCCCTATACACAGGACGATCAGTCTCTGATGTACATATAAGCAAGCGAACAACCGTGCGCTTGTCGTCGCCGGATTGCGTCATGATCCGAGCATCAACGTGCGGTGGTGCTCACGAGCAAATCAACGACCAATTGTACGTTCGTTGCCAGCACACTGCGCCGGTACGTTGTACATACAACAAGCGTTGACAGTGTCTCGAATGACGGGGCGGCATTACCGCATCAGACGACGTGTCCCACAGCTGTGGCAAAAAACCCCACCAGAGCCAGCGCGTGGGTCGAACAGTCACTTTGGTACAGTGGTATGCCACACAGCGAGAACAAAAGAAAACGCGCAGCTGCGAACTTATCGATCCGACGACAAAGAGTGTGCGTGTGTGTGTTTTATACACTTGGTCGAATGAAACAACCAGCTGGGCCATGTTTAAATCGGCTGCCATCGCTCTCGTCGCTCTGTTGAAACCATCTCGCGCTCAAGACGACGACGGACCCCATCGCTTCACTCGCTGCGTCTGCGCTCATGCCCCCGCACGCGTCCGACTGCGCGTCTCCACTGGCCACGACCGCAGACGACTTCCCTGCCATTGACAGCGGTAGGGACAGTCTGCCTGCGTCGTCGTCCTCTCCACTAAGTGCGTCGAAAGGCTGGCAGCAAGACGTGCGCTCCGTGGGTGTGGTCTTGTCGATAAGTACGGCGCTACTGGGCGTGACGCTGCACTCGCTGGTCGTGTCTGCGCTGTTGGAGTCCGAGTGGGAAGCGCTGCGTGTGCCCACGTCGCTAGAGGCGGCCCAGGAACTGGGGCTGACGCTGCAGAGCTTTGCCGAGCGCCAACGAGGAGCGCTCTTACTCGCGCACATGGCCTCTTACCTCTACCTGCAGACGTTTGCAATTCCCGGCACCATCTTTCTGAACCTCCTGGCCGGCGCCCTCTTTGGCGTTGCGCTGGGCTTTCCGCTCTGCTTGGCGTACAATACACTGGGCTCCGCGTTCATGTTCGTGCTGTCGCGCCGCTTTGGTCACCGCGTCGTCATGCGGTTCTTCCCGAACAAACTCGACGTGCTGCGTCGTATGCTGGAGGCGCACCGGGACGACATGGCGCTCTACATGGTCTTCCTGCGCGTATTTCCTTTCACGCCCAACTGGTTCATCAACCTTGCGTCGCCTCACTTGGCGATTCCACTGCGCCAGTTTATGCTGGGCCCGCTACTGGGGCTCATTCCGTACAACTTTCTGAGCTGCAAGGCGGGTCTTATCTTGCGAGAGCTTCGATCGCGTACCGATATTATTGATACCGCTACTACTGTGCAGCTTGTTGTGGTAGCATTTGTGGGTGGTCTTGTGCTACCTCGGTTGAAGAGACGCTTTGCCACGGGCTCAGATCCTGCACCCGCTTTCGCGCCGGTGAAACGCGAATAGGCGGCTGAGTGTGTGCATCGAGTGTCGTCAGTGAGTACAAGCGAATGGGCTAGTTCTTGCTACAGGGGTGAGATCGTTGATTAGCGTGCCCGCAGACGATGTTGGTACCTGGAGTCCGCCACGCGTTGACTGAGACTCATGCCTGCCAATGAGATGGATGTCGAGTGGACAGCGGTCATAGAGTGAGTACAAGAAGATAAACGAGCCGTATGGTAAACTTGCAACACGCGTGCGGTCTTAGCCGTTTTGAGCAACTACCAACAAGCGTGATGATAGTATGCAGCTGAACGGAGATTTGCTTGATGGAAGTTCACAAGCACGCACCGCTATATGGAACTTCGAAGGTGGCGTGTAGAGTGAGAATGTAGCTGCATGAAGCGGCGCGCTTTGCAATACGGACGTATGGAGTGACCTTATACAACTACTGGTGGAAGAGCTCGACTTTGCGAGACATCATCGAGTAATTAAAAGCTTGACGATATGCGACTTTCCGATGCTTTGTCACACGGCCTCGCTCTAGAGGAGGTCAACAAAGTGGGCAAGCACAGCAGCTTTTAGAACCGTACAGACAGGTGCGACATTCGGAATTGCCGGCACGAAACCAAAGGCTTGAGTGACTACAACACCGGTACTTCAGCGGTACCACAAGCAGCCGGGAGTTTTGCTGCTCTCATCCCTCTCGCGACTCACATCCGCATCGTGCAAAGGTATGTACCAAGCACATTGTGATCTGCATCGACCCTACAAGTACGCACTGTGTGGTCAGCGCCGCGCGAGGTTGTGTGCTAACAAGAAACCGATTACGCTGGTCACGTCTCATTTTCGGGACATGCGCCTGGACATGCGTTGATGCGCTACTTCGATTATACGCAAATATCGTACAACTCCGTACTGTGCCACCACACACGGTCGCAAAAGATTCGGAAGGATACGTCATCGGAGCGCACTTACACGAGCGTGGTGGTTGTGTGCCAGGGATAGGCTTTCCGTCAACGTGTTATTGTCTTCAACATTCCGAAGTCTACTCGCGTGTGTCGATTTGTTAGCCGTGCGGAAAATTTGATAGAAGTGGGTGGAAAACAAAGCGTGACTTTGCCATAGCGTCCGCAACCTCATTCGTCACAAGACACAGCTTGAAAAGGGAAGTTGTGCTTCTCTGTTTGAAATGAGGTGTTTGCTTGTATGGAAGACCAAAGTCGTTGCAAGCGTTAGACATTATTAAGACATAAGCGCTCGAGCTTGCGTCTCCGATGTCCTTGTATGTTAGTATCTATATGCACAGAACGTAAGAGTGCGGGCTCGAGAGCATGAACCTTGTCGAGCTTTTGCCATCGTTGGTGTTGTAGCTGACGTACCCTCCTCTAACAGCAAACACGGCCGCTTCGCAAGGCAGCAGTATCGGCCAACTTTCTTCCTCACAATTTGTATTAGTCACAGGTGCAAACGCGTGTGCCGAGCAGAACAATGTTGCCGTTTCTGTGCATTATCAGGTACAAGAGCGCTTCAAGGTCTGTGCAGTCCATCGAATGTCCATACCGAAAGAAAAGGTACTCAGTCTTTGGCTTTTCGATTCCACTTTCTAACAAGCTATCAACTCGCTGTAAACCGGTTCCGTTTTGACAAGTGAGTCATGGCCAATATTCTGACTGCAAGACCTGTTACAGGCCAAGAGAGCCCGCACCAGATTGGCTGAGAATAAGAAAGGCAGGATACAGAATGTAAAGCAAATGATCCCTGCGGGTAGAGCAACAAAAGGGTATGGGGGCACGTGATGGACTGGCAGAAGTGATGTCGTTTCTTGCGTGTCCTATGTTTGTACTGTTTGTAAACGTTTGTCGCGAGGTGGCCCTGTTGTATACTATTGGCAGTGGCGGAAAAATGTCAATATGGACCTCATGTTGGCGGGTCAATTTCTCCGTAGCTAGTGACACACTACTCAGTCGCTGATACAGGCCACGATAACAGCCAAGAAAATTTACTTCTGGACGCGCGCAACGAGCGGTGATTAAGATGCCAGTATGCATGTTTGTAGTTTGATCTCCTGTCAGTATGGTTTATCGAATAGATTTGCTGCAGCAGGTACAGTTCAGTTTTTGCGTAAACACAGCATCACCGTTTGTAAACCGCGATTGTTCTATCCTTTCAGTATACGCGATATTTGGAGCACCCGTCCGCATATGTCTTCAGTGTGGATAGCTTGTGCTGTGTTCCGCATTTATGTGGGGCACCCCCACACGCGATATCTAGTGACTTACTGCTATGATGCACTGCGAGAATACATGTTGTCCTTTTAGTACTTTTCATACGCAGTATCCAGTCTGTCACAAACATAGGACCTTACTCCTATGGCTCAAATCTATTCGTGCTTATCGACTTTGGTTTAAAGACAGATGCTTCATTCAAAAATCTGTACTAGGGGTTTTACAAGCTTTATACAGTAAGGCGATAATGTATAACTTCTGTTGGCCGATATGCGTCGGCATATTGATCTACGGCTTCGATGGACATTCCTGTAGTCACTCTTACGTGTCACGAGAAATTTCAATTAGCTAAAACGAGTTTTTTTTCCTGTACCATAGAAAATCGTGAATACTGCTTGCCGATTCCATACAGCATTTTACATTGCATATGTGCGGCGTAAAGTGTATCATAAACGCCGAGAGAAGTTGTTGAATGTAGATGAAGCAAATCGAAATCAGTTTTGCGCAAGTGATGCTAACAGAAGACCAATAGAAAGTTGAACTGAAAGCAGGAGAATATGAAGTGGATTTAACTAGGTGAGCGGCCGGATCGGAATGAGCAAGTGCACGTCAACGCTTTGGCGCACTTGAAGAATGTGAGAGCGACCCGTCACGGGCAAAAAATAAATTGCGGTAGATGTTACAAGAATATAATCACAATCAGGTGAGCTGGTTCAATTTACACTAATCCAATCATAGTTGGAATAACATCGTGGTAGCATCGACCGGGTTGTTGTAACTAGTAAACAGATGTAGGGCAGTGTCATGGGACGGTATTTGATTGATATATCCTAAAAATGACGATCGAGGTCTACAGTACTCGCGATCGCGGGTCGACGACACAATTAGAGGGGCACAAATTTCCAAGAAAGAGCATAGCTAGTCAATGTTATCGAACAACATACATTTGTAAAAGGGACAGACGTTTTTTTTTCGATTTTCTTGCCGCTTAAGAAAAATGCTGGCATTTCAGGATGTTTTGTAATTGCAGGTCGATACTGTTTGGTACACAATTATGCAGAGTTCATTTTGATAAGAGAAGTGATACGTAATAAATGTTGTCATGGATAAACCTCAGCATACAGGACCTATATTTATGAGTATCGGACTCATTGAAATCGAGAGTAAGAAGTCCAACAAGAATAGTGAACCGCATTTCCGCTGATCAATATCTACGGCATAGCGTAAGTGAATTTTCTATGGACCACATTTCATCGTTCGGTCTTTCGTTGTGCCCAAAACTGTAGCATATCTTGATTGTCTAGTTGTTTTTAACGCTGGCATGTTCCAAAGTATATATCAACTGATTGTAAAGATATATTGTGATGAATTAGTTCCACTTAATCGATAAACTTGAGCAAAATATATGATTTGTAAACGTCACTGGCGCCATGATCGTGCCTACTTACAAGATGTCTTAAGTTACGCATGGACCGAGCTTTGCACTTACAGCAGGATGAGACGTCGTGGTCAACCCAAATGAAGCAAACCGGACCTACTTAAGCGAGGATCGATCATTTTATTAGATTTGAAGGAGGCAACAAAAGAAGACGATTAACGGCCCGGTAACGCTACTGTAACGACTCACACGCGTTATGTGTATAGAAAGACTAGTATCATGGATGATATACCCTATCAGAGTGACTCATTATTCCACAAATCACAGGGAAGATTAGTACGTAAAAGCGGCAGAATAGGCGCCTGTAATGGTATGCGAATAGATTCGTTGTCACCCACATAAAGACGCTAATAGATTCTGGGGTTGGGTATCTATGAAGTTTGAGACGTGGGACGACGTCCGTCCAAAGTTTTCATCAAAAATGACAATGCTCATGTCATGAATAATGAACGCTATTTTTTCACGCAGCACCGACGCAGACATGACCCAAGTTTGAGCTGGAAGATATTGTATGTCCCCATCTCACGGGTTTAGTACTAAAATCGCAATTGGACCCGATTTGGGCTTCAAGAGTAGTAGACTAGTTCCCTAAGACAGAGATATTCCCTTATAATTACTATGAGGTATAGCACTGCTCTCAATCGCGGCTCAAGTCAATTGTATCGGCGATGATAGGGGCAGAACGCATATATAACGGTGCAACTTGTGGTTGCTTTAATGACTAAAATGGTGACGAGGATCATCTTCTATGTGGTCTGAAAAGTTGTAACCAATCACCTTTAGTTGACGAACAATAAAATATGTCGACCTTGATTGACGTACGGTCGTATCTCACTCCGACAACACTAGAATTAATAAAAACCTGACCAACCTACTATAAGCAAGTCAATTAGAAGAGTAATGCATATGCATATGAAATGGTATGGGATATAAATGCCACTTTACGACCTATGAAGCGGCGAGGCAAAGACTAGATTGGCCGTAAGTGGGATCGACTTTATTCTCCCAACTCGGAAAAACTATCTCCCAATCAGTTCTTCGCGATAATTAGGGACACATAAATCTGCATACTAGATATGATGAAGCTACAAATAATGACCTTTCGGCATCGCCGCACATGAATGTGAAGCGACTTTGAGCAAAAGGGTTGTGTGGTCCGATCTCACGATTAGGGCTCACGATTGGATTAACGACACCCCAAATTGGTGTGTGTTTAAGGCGGATATAATTTCAACAAATTCCTGATCGGAGATAATAATGATCGATATTCAGAAAGTCCCTAGTATGTATGGGAGAACTTTACGTCAGACACTTATAATGGATCGGATCTTCATGACGAGAAGACATAATGATCTGCTTCC